AATAGATAAGTAAATCCAATTAATAAGCTTTTTCAGTGTATATAGAAAGTAAATGAGAAAATAAAATTAATAATCACAATACAAAGAAAACATTTAAGAATCTCTCTTTATCTCTCTCTCTCTCTCTCTCTCTTTCAATTAAATAGTTCAAACTTGCTTTATTGGCATGACTGTAAAAGTACAACATTGCCAAAACTTGAAACATGCAGAGAAATACATAATAATAATTTAACAAAAGGTCAAAATAACGGAATAGAAACTTAAGTACTTAAGCTACTTGAGTAAAAATAAACTTAAGCAAACTCTCTCTTTCCTTCTGTCTCTCTCTCTCTCTCTTAATGTTTCTCATTATACACACTCTCACACACATCTGTATAGCGTATAAACCCACCCACCCACACACACACACACCTACACACACGTACGTAACTGACAGAACACACACGCTGTCATCTCTCTCGTGGATGCAGAATAGTGATTTAAAAAAACTAAAGAAAAAAAAAGAAACAGATATAAAATAAAGAGATGATAAATAAGCCTGGAATTGTATTTATACTTCTGAAATCACTTGTGGAATATATGATTCGGGAAGCCTTCGCCGTACTGGAATCTGCTCGTGTCTGGTCCCCCTCCTCTTCATGTATGTGATATTAATAATAAACGTGTTTTTTTGTATGTAAAAGGTGAATGATGATGATGATGATGCAGAGGTGGCCGGAGTTTCTGTAATCCTCACTGTACAACGACTATGTGCTGATATTATAAATAAAACTGAGGAATATGGAAAGGACTCCAGGTTTGCTACTTTTTAATAATCAAAGTTTTTATGATTTATATTTTTTAAATGCTTTTATTATATTTATTTAATTTTTAGTCATTAAATTTATATATGCTTATTTTTTATATTTCATGGATGTATTATTATAGTGCGTTGGGAGTATTATAGATTGTTTTTTCCAAGTGATTAATGTCAGCATTACTTATTTCACTATTTATATTAATTATTATTTAAATTGTTTGGCTTAGGATGTTTTGATTGGTAAACCGCATCTATGGATGGATACACACACACACACATATATATATATATATATATATATATATATATATATATATATATATATATATATATATATATATATATACATACACGCATACATACATATATATACTTACATACACACACATACACACAAACATACATACATATATATATATACTTACATACATACATGCATACATACACGCATACAGTGCATCTATTTCATTACTTTTATATTTAATTTGTTTATTCGAGTGGTAGTTCATTCCGATTGACATTTGAAGCTGATAAAAATGCGCTACCCCTGTTTTTACACCCTTCAAGAAGGTAGTTCAAGGCTGTGAATACTTATGTACATTGATTTTTCCGATATTTTTTTTTTATTATTATTATTTTTTTTATTTGCAACAATTTCAGTTGTCGTTATAAAATATTGTGTGTAGAATTTTGAGGAAATAAATGAATTTAATCAATTTTGGAATAAGGCTGTAACAAAAACGTGGAAAAAGTGAAGCGATGTGAATATTTTTCGAATGCACTGTGTATGGATGGAATTATAGATGGATGGTTGGATAGAATGATGGATGGATGGATGGTTGGATAATTGGAACAATGGATGGTTGGATAAAATGATGAGACTTTCAACCAGCACAACGTTTTTAGAAGACAATCTCCTGCACACACAACTGCATTGTGTTGTTGGAAAATGTATTTCATATACTTAAATTTGACCTTTGCATGCTAAAAGTACTTAAGTAAGAGAATTTTTTCTTAATTTGGGTCATTAAAATAACTGACTACCAATGTTATATAAAACAAACCCATTCTTGGGCCAATTTATGAATAACAGTAGGTTCATGACATGTTAAATATATATATTTAACATGTCATGAACTCATGAACCTACTGTTTTAAACATACAGAATAATAATAAATAGTTATCATTATGTCTTAGGACATTTTTGATTAACTTTTTATTACGCCAAATGTTGACTAATGAAGGTACATTTATAACAAAACATTTATTTGTTAGACTACTTTATTGTCAAACCATTGCATACAAATGCATTCAACAGACTTGTATGACAGTGTATTGCTGTAGAGGACAAATAAAACACAAGACAGGTGTTTAGAAAGAGTATAGTTTATTTTGTTTGACCTGCAAACTTATCTAAACAAGAGAAACTTTCAGAAAACAGCCCGGAAACATTATAATGCGCGCCCTCGTGAATATAACCCTCGGTTGTCTTCAACGGTTAGTCCTCCTTTGTGCAACAGCTCTGCTGAAAAACAAAGCAAAACATTACAACAGCCAGACATACAGCTAAAACATTACCGTTACCATGATTTCTATTTTGAACTATAGTAAACTAAAGTTTGAAACTATAGTTTAAAATAGATGATGAGTGGGCCCCGCTGCTCCCACCCACCATAACCTTCGCAGCGGGGTCCCACTACCGGCCTCCCGTGTTTCCCTGAGGCTGTTGCGTTTATGTACGGAAACTCCAAGGAACTACAGCACAGACGGGCCCGAGTGAAGATTCGCGAAGCGGACTTGTTGGGATTGGCGTGGCTCCACTCGTACCGTCGGTATTGAACTCACCTTGGTCAAGTACCGAGCGAACTGACAACGCTGAGAGACAACCGACGAGCTTTACAGGAATGCATATGCAAATGTTTACAATGCGACGTCACTGCTGTGAGTCTCGTTGTCATGGTGAGCGCTGAAGAGCACATCTCATTGGAGACTCGTGAATCTCCGTCATGGTGAGTTGCTGTCGGTGGACAAAAACATATTAAATATATCGAATAAATATTTTTACATTTTTAAAAGCCGTAGAATATGGAGACAGATGAATATAATTAAAGACAGATGCGGGACATAAGAACAGAAAGTGAGTCGGGCTAGGATACACTCCTCTGACAAACTCCTAGTGGTGGTAGGCTTCTTATTATCCAAGATCGCCATCTAGCGGTCACATAACCTAATAGCATGTTACTTGCTACTAACCACCCCCATGGCCAAAAGGTCCAACATTTGGCCTTTTAATTATCTTACGTTATTTAACATTATATACTATATTTATTATATAACTAATGTAACATATTTATATTCAATATACAATCACGTCTGTGTTATTGAGGCTCACTTCATTCGTTTTATTCTGATCTGATATAAATCCAATCACTCAAACCACTCCAGAAGGTGATCTAGGATGCATTCCAGGTGAAACTGGACAGGTATAATCATTTTATAGACAGAATTAATATGAATAAAATAAATTATGACCTGGAGAAAATCTGACCTGCGCCTGAAACACCTGTAGGTTTGCTTTTACAGCCAAAATTCTATTAAAGCATGTTTACTATAAGCATAAAACGTGCTCTAACTTTTCAGGCCTTTAGCCAGGGGGGGTTTAGGGTGGTTGGGAAGTCCAACACCTCACTGACAAAGGTGCAGAATTTGTCTCTGCCATAAATAGTGAAAATAATCCATTGAAAAAGGCTTTAAGACCAAACGGAGTCTTCTGTCGGCTGTTGCTTCGGTGGGACAATAATCTGATGTAAGACAAGTCTTCTTTCACTACTGTATTGTTTTTAAACAGAGAAAACATTTTACAGGTAAGGTAACTTTATTCTAAATCTTGGACTTTATTTCTGAAATAAAAATGAGCAATGAGGTGTGAAGCACCAGAAGCAAAACATATTAAATTAATTTGAATACATTTTGGCTATTTTTGATATCCAGGAATTTTCAAATCTTTATCATAATTTTTTACTAAAGAGACTTGAAAAATTATTACTATTATTATTATTATTATTATTATTATTATTATTATTATTATGTTTTTTTGAAATTGCCAAATTGTGACTGAGGACAGTTGAATGTGCTGGCCAGTTTGTTTTTTGTCTAATAAATGAGAGTAGGCTACAGTTTTTTTAAACTTTAAAACTTTAACAGATTCCTATTTTCCCCTAATGATATATGATGTAATAAATTTATATTTTAAAAATTTGACTTTTTTTCATTTTAAACATCAAAAGTGTGGTTATGATAACATCTGACTAGTTAATTTAGCAAAAAAAAAAAAAATCACTAAAATACAGTATTTAAATCTCATAGTTAAATAGAAACTGAGACGTATAACTGCAAAAAGGTCCACATTTTGAGAAAAAAAGAACCACCCCTTTCACCAGGCTGGCTACGATACACACACACACACACACACACACACACATATATATATATATATATATATATATATATATATATATATATATATATATATATATATATATATTAGGGTTAATATATATATATATATATATATATATATATATATATATATATATATATATATATATATATATATATATTTTTTTTTTTTTTTTTTTTTCCCCTCATATACCCAGTTTTTCCCCCCACCATCACGTCCATTCCGGGTCTCCGTAAGGAGGACGAAACCTGCAAAACGATAAAAAATAAATAAATAAATATGTACATATATAAATAAATAAGTAAATAATACATACATTCCTGCATAAATAAAACAATAAATGAACAAATAAATAAATAAATATGCAAAATATGGGTGGGGTGGGTGTACGCATTGAAACAGCTTACAGGAGGAGGAGCGGGAGCTCAAGCTCCCCATCGCTGGAGCGCAAGTGGCTCTGCAGAGAGCAGTGTTTCACCAATGATGGCATAAACACCGCCTTCTGATGACTGACAGACCCAACTATCTCCAACATGATGAAACGAAACAAATTAGGAAGAAAAATAAGAAATATGTTTACTTCAGAACATTACTTCGGTGCTCTTATTTATTTAATTGTTCAATTTGCTTGTTTAAAAACGTTTACATATACTTTAATAGTATTTATTAAATAAGAAAAATTTAAGACTTTTTTAATAGGTACGTGCGTCCTTCCACCATCGCACGCGCTGTCGTCATCACCGCGCGTCGGAAGTGTGTGCGTTCACAGCATCAACACACGTGAGTCCTTCAAACCGCTGTTCTTCAGACACAGCTCGATTTAGAGACATTCGTCTTGTTTATTGGTCAGACATTAGGATTCAGATGCTCCGCTCCTCGTAGCCGCGCGTTATATTGTTTATGTATTATGCTGGCGCGCCTCCGCCGCTCTTTATCAGTGTTTCTGATGGACGCACACACTTCAGGCAGGAGCAAAACACTCAAAGAGACCCGGAGACCCCTGAAAACCCGGGACAACCGGCGACAGGCCGACAACCACGGTCCCGCCAACGTATATGTGCAGGTGGTCGGCGCGGGAAGCAGAGATAATGGCGCATCTCTGTATGTCTTCTCCGAGTTTAACAGGTAACGTGAAATAAACTGTGTAATGAGTCTAATGTGCTGCGATTAAAGAAAACAAACTCAATTACAATCGCAAATGGTGTTTTTAAAACAAATTGCGAGTAATGTCATCAGTAGTTTACAAAACAAACCATAATAATGTTTTCCCTAACCCTAATGGGACTGAATTGATAAAGGAATGCATATTAATGATACAAGCAGAATGATACTCAAACTTTGATTGTTCATGGGATCAAATAAATAATATTTAATGGTCAGTCATGAAAGAAACTCGCATATTTAGTTGTCCTGGGTTACATTTGCATTAGACATTTGCTCTAAACTAATTCAAACATGTATTTCTGTTTTATCTAAATATTTCTATAATCATATTTGGATGCACATTGACTTCTGACAAGCTAAGCAGTATGTCATGCTAAATTGTTGGTACTACTATTAATGTAAGTGATTGTAGAGTGTTAATGGATGTCTTTTATGCACAGGTATCTGTTTAACTGTGGTGAAGGAACGCAGAGACTCATGCAGGAGCACAAGTAAGATCTTAAACACTAACATTGAATACGTTTACATGGACACCAATAATCCCATTTTAATAGATTAAGACAGTACTTCCAACTCAAAGTTTATATACGGCAGCAGGAGAAATGTCACTTTACAACAGGACATTGAAACTGGCTCTCAACTACACAGTCAAGCTGAAAGCTAGCAAAGAAAGTCCAGCATATTCTACTGTTTTCCACCCTCAATATCAGCACCTCACAAGTGGGCCTCAGTGAGCTCTGTGTAGGGGTCGCTTCATATTTTTATATATATATATATATATTTTTTTTTTTTTGCGATGGACAATTAGGAGAACGATCATGATGCCTGAGTTATTTTATCCCCTGGAAACATTTACATTTAGTCATTTAGCAGACACTTTTATCCAAAGCGACTTACAAATGAGCACAAGGAAGCAATTTACACAACTATAAGAGCAACAATGAAAAAGTGCTGTAGGCAAGTTTCAGGTGTGTAAAGTCTAAGAAGGGAAGCATTTGTAATGTAAGATTAGTTTTTTTTTTAGTACAGTTAGTGGTATAGCCAGAGTGGCAATTGCGGACTAGGAAGGAAAGTGGAGACTAAATAGTTGAGTTTTTAGTCATTTCTTGAAGACAGCGAGTGATTCTGCTGTTCTGATGCAGTTAGGGAGTTCATTCCACCAACTGGGCAGATTGAACACGAGAGTTCGGAAAAGTGATTTCATTCCTCTTAGGGATGGAACCACGAGGCGACGTTCATTCACTGAACACAAGTTTCTGGAAGGCACATACATCTGCAGAAGTGAGAGCAGATAAGAAGCAAAGCCAGTGGTCGTTTTGTAAGTAAACATCAGAGCTTTGAATTTGATCCGTGCAGCAACTGGCTGCCAGTGCAAACGGATGAGCAGCGGAGTGACATGTGCTCTTTTAGGTTCATTGAAGACCACTCGTGCTGCTGCTGCGTTCTGAAGAAACTGAAGAGGCTTGATAGAGTTAGCTGGAGGCCCGGCTAGTAGAGAGTTGCAGTAATCCAGTTTGGAGAGAACAAGAGCTTGAACAAGGAGTTGAGCTGCATGTTCAGATAAGAAGGGTCGGATCTTTCTGATGTTATAGAGTGCGAATCTGCACGATCGAGCAGTTCTAGAAATGTGGTCAGAGAAGTTTAGTTGGTCATCAATCGTTACTCCAAGGCTTTTCACCATTTTAGATGCAGTAATGGTTGCCCCATCCATCTGGATTGAAAAGTTGTGATGTGGAGTCGGGTTGAAACTTCAAGGATTTTTGTTTTCGCGAGGTTAAGCTGAAGATGATGATCTTTCATCCAGTGTGAAATGTCTGACAGGCAGGCTGAGATGTGAGCCGGAACTGAGGGATCATCAGGGTGAAAAGAGAGTCATAGCTGGGTGTCATCAGCATAGCAGTGGTAGGAGAATCCATGTCTCTGGATGACTGGTCCTAAAGATGTTGTGTAGATGGAGAAGAGAAGTGGAAACAAAAAAATCTCACTGATTCATCTTCATCATCTACTAGTAATGACCCAAGTGAGGAAGCTCCAAACATTTAGTTTCGCAGCGCTTGCAATACTGGAAACACAAAATGCAGAAAATACCGAGATGGTTACCTGAACTATTGTTTTATTCCATTTTCTCGATGTAAAGAGTCCCTGACCCAGCCACTGAGCTTTATCTGCACCAATGTTCTTGGTAATGAATGCATGAGACCCTTCAAATTAATAAGACGTTTGACTCATCCCCAATACTACGACAAGCCCAGAGCATTTTATGAGGCAAAAGAATTGACACACACCGGATATCAGAACTACTGACAAGAAACGTTTAAAAATATCCTACACAGCTTAAAAGAATGGGGATACAATTGCAGAAACTTTGATTTTGCCATGCACACCAGAGATTGAACAGAAATTATTTGGAGAGGATAAATCAAAACAACTGGCTAAGATACCGTTATCAATTAATACTGTCAAACGATGCATTGCAACAATGTCAGAAGACGGTAGGGGTATTAGCTTTGTGCACGACTATGATATTCGTCTTGCCCTGTCAAACATCTCTCCACAAATTATTACTCGCTGCCAGCAGCAATCCTCACACTGATTGATAAAGCATAACAAATAACATGCAAGTGTTAAATTGTAATAGCCTATATTATTTTCCCCTTAGTCACCAATCAGTGTGAATAATGCAATTTTTGTTAGTGAATTTAATTTAGGGCCAATTTAAAGGCCAAAGGCTTACGTTTTATGTTATGTTTTGCTTTTATAATTTACATTAGACTATTGTTTGTGCATAAACATATCTTGATATAGTAATAAACATACCGTTTGTTTGAAAACTATTTTTTTTGTCATCCTGCAAACTTGTATGAGCTAAAATATCCTTAAAGAGCCCTGAAACGCCCCTGTTCAGCAGGGTGTTTTTACCCCTCTAGTTTGGGAAAAAGTCAGGAAAGTGGGTGAGTTCAGCTCTGTTTAGATGGGAGTGTCGGGGAAGGGAAAGAGGGAAGTTGCGTAAAATGTACATAAAAATGGGAGTTTTCATTTGCACTCACTGATTTTCACAGAGGCAAAACAAAGGCCTCTAAGTAGCCACTTCTGGGGTCCATTCTTCGTTCCTCGCTTAAATGATCTAAGATGATTTGGCAGATCCTGGATCCTTTAATCTTGATAACTGATCTCTCGCTAATTTGGTTGTTCAAACAAGTTCGCTAATCAGATTAGAATGCCTGGATAAACTGATCCGAGATCGCTGCGTGTGTTGTGAAGGACAGATCTATCGATCCTCCAGTCTTTGTACTTTCATTTCGAGGGTGCAGATTACATAAGTTTATTAATATGTATAACTTTATTTATTTTATTAATACCAATAACTTTATATATATATAGTTAAAACAGATTTACCATTTTCCCAAATGTATATAACTTCTACTGTAAGAAAATATCAGAATTCGGTACATACTTTCTGTATTATCTTTGCTTGAACTGACCCATCCTGTTTTTATGAATTGAACCTGCTCCCGATCAGGTTTAAGCTAGCAGAACTGTTGCTATGACAACAACTCTCGGATCAGCTTTAAAGAACGAAACGATCCTGAATCATGTCAAATCGTCAATATCCAAATCCAGCTAACTGAGTAATCCACGCACGAAGAACGGACCCCTGTGCTCATATGGCATGTTTTTTTTTTATGTGTTTTGTTTGTATCCAGGCTAAAAATTGCACGCTTGGACAACATCTTCCTCACCCGCATGAGCTGGGACACGGTTGGCGGTTTATCAGGTGAGAGAATTACTGATGCTATTTTGTGGCATTTCTAGTATTTATTTACCCAGTTCTAGAGATATCAACGTTATTTATTTATTAACTCTAAAAAATAAAAAAAAACAAACAATGTGATAGAGTAAAGTTCTTTGCACTGTAAATTTTTGTATTCATATGCAAAACATTTGTCGCTTAAACAAACCTTGCACACTGAGTCTGTTGCGTATTATTTAATCCATTATGAAAAGATCACAAAAGGAGGAAGGAGAGTTCAGCTCATTATCAAAGATCTGCGCTATGATTATCCCCAAATGCAAAGTTTATTTCAGGAATTTATCGCATTGCTTGTGATGCAGCACACATTAACATATGTAAACAAACCCTGGACAGAAACGGACAGTACTGACGTGCTGATGTGTCGAAGCAACAGATCAGATGTAGACCATGCTTTCTATTATAATGAATGTGGGCAGTACGTCAAATGTATGGACACACACCGCAAACAGCAGCTGGGGGGAGGTGTGCCAGTCACTGAATCCAGCATATAGGGGTTCTCAACTGTCTGACACATTCTGTCTTTATTTTATGCTCTGTGTTTGTCAGGAAGTTATCTGTAGCTCAAATTACGGCATTCTGTCTTTAGCCTTTTGCTTGTACGGTGGCTCTAAACCAGGGGTCACCAAACTTGTTCCTGGAGGGCCGGAGTCCTGCAGATTTTCGCTCAAAACATAATCTAACACACCTGAACAAGCTAATCAAGGTCTTACTAGGTATACTTAAAACACCCAGGCAGGTGTGTTGAGGCAAGTTGGAGCTAAACCCTGAAGGGACACCGGCCCTCAAGGACCGAAATTGGGGACAACTGCTCTAAACTGTTAAAACACCTCTCAAAGGGCTTTTTCGGATGCAAAAAATTTGAATTATTTTATTATGGACAAAAGGTTCAGAGGCAGTGTGTCAATATGACTGACACATCGTTTGGTCAAATTTATTTTTTAGCTTGTGAAAAATGCAGATGAACATTTTGGATTCAAGCTTATTGCACACTGAATCCAAACCACTTGGATTGGTGCAGCAGTAATGCGGTCAATGTCCTGGTCCATTGAGGTGAAGAAGGAGCTGAGCCGAATAACAAAGCGTTCAATTTATCGGTCAGTCTACGTTCCTACTCTATGGTCATGAACGAAAAGACAAGATCTCAGATACAAGCAGAAATAAGATACGAAATGAGTTTTCTTTGCAGGGTGGCAGGGCATACTTCTAGATATGGCGAGGAGCTCTGTCACCTGGGAGGAGCTCGGAGTAGAGCCCTGCTGCTCGTAGTAGAGCCGCTGCTCCTCCACATCGAGAGAAGTCAGCTGAGGTGGCTTGAGCATTTGTTTCAGATGCCTCTTTGATGCCTACCTAGGGAGGTGTTCCAGGCCAGGAGGAGGCCTCGGGGAAGACCCAGGACATGCTGGAGGGACTGTGTCTCTTGGCTGGCCTGGGAATTCCTGGGGATCCCCTCGGAGGAGCTGGAAGAAGTGTCTGGGGAGAGGGAAATCTGGGGTTCTCTCATGAGACTTCTTTCCTCGCGACCTGGCCCTGGAAAAGCAGAAGAAAATAAATGAATGATTGTAAAAATAAGTTAAATTAATCCAAGCAAAACAAATGGAGTTTTTGTAGTGTGCTTTTGTGTTTTACAGGCATGATTTTGACTCTCAAAGACACAGGAGTGCATCAGTGTGTGCTGTCTGGACCTCCACAACTGGTACCAGATACACACACAAACAACACACCATGACACATCTGCCTTTTGGCATCTTTGTGTCTTTCAGACAGGGTTCCCATGCTTCCCTAAAGTACAAGTTGAATAAAGGACGAATGCAAAGTACTTAAAAACAAGCATGTCCTTATAAATGCTTGAATTAAATCTGAAATTAAATTTGTTAATGGTTTTATTTCAACAATTAGACTCGATTGTCAAAACCAGAATGAAAAAACAGAGAAATTCTAAAATGTAATTCTTCTACAGTAACACTGACAAATGATGCACAATTTTGCTTATTTTCAGAAACTGCATTTGAAAAACACCAGCATTCATTTTAAGAAATATTATTAAAGTTCTTTGAATGTGACTTCTCACAACGGTCAAAGATTTTAATGTCAATATTAGGTGCAAGTGAAATGTGAAGTGCAGTAAGGACTTTCATAGTGTTACATATGCTGGGTATGAATGCTGCTTTAAAGTCCTTGAGTCTGCTGAAAGCATGGAAACCCTGCTCACACCAAAATGATAAAACTTAAACATAATGGGGGGGATCATAATGAATTCTTTTCTTCTGTTTCAGGACAGGTTTTTAAAAGCCATTAAAGTGTTTTCAGGACAGCTGGAAGACATTAAACTAGGTTACTAGTGCACTGTTATCTTTATTCTATCTGTGTGTATATTAGATTTCTGTATTCTCACAGCTGAGCAAGTGATGCTGATGTGTTTTTTTGTCTTTCATTTTTACAGCTGTCAGGCCTTACACTGAGCCTCAGTATAAAGACGAAACCATGACCGTCAGCCAGATTCCTCTCTTCTGTGAGTCTCACCGTAGTTTTACAGCATTCTCAACATTTTTAAGGTGACCTATTATGCCCCTTCTTACAAGATGTAAAAGAAGTCTCTGATGTCCCTTGTGTGTGTGTGTGTGTGTGTGTGTGTGTGTGTGTGTGTGTGTGTGTGTGTGTGTGTGTGTGTGTGTGTGTGTGTGTGTGTGTGTGTGTGTGTGTGTGTGTGTGTGTGTGTGTGTGTGAGAATTTTTAGCTCAAAACATCACAGGTCATGTTTTAAACATCACAGATAACATTTGTGACCTAGTAACTCTGGCCACTCCCACCCGCAGTCTTCGTTCCTCATCTGCAATCTTGCTGTATCAGCCGCTTGTAAAGTGAAGACTGTAGGTGGTCGTGCTTTTCCGTACAGTGCGCCTAAGCTATGGAACGTCCTATCCACCAACATCAGGAATGCTGTTTCTCTGGATTTTTTAAAGAAAATTCATAAGACTCACCTTTTTACCGTTGCATTAACTTAGATTGATTATTTTTGTCATTTTTTTTTTCATCCAATTATATTGAATCATTCATATTTTATTGCGGTCGTTTTATTCTATTTTATTTTCTGACTGTTTTTATTGTTCTGCTTTGTTTGCCTTGTATGCCTGTTAGCGCTTTGGGACTGAGAAAAGTGCATTATAAATAAAATGTATTATTATTATTATTATTATTATACTCTTTAAATCTGACCCTTCTGAGGCTTTGATCCTAATTGGGCCATTTTGGTGACTGCGGCTTTAAATTTAAAGGAGATTGTGCTCTTTTCAAAAGAGGGCAGAGCTACAAATGCCTGTGTGTCAGCATAGTGGCAGATTAAAAAAAACAAGACTAACATTTTTCAACATTTACAAAGCAGCGTTTGTATTCATCCAGGCAAAACTATTTGCTTTGCTCACAGTGAGAAGGTCGCTGGTTCGAGCCCCGGCTGGGTCAGTTGGCGTTTCTGTGTGGAGTTTGCATGTTCTTCCTGTGTAGGCGTGGGTTTCCCCTAAAGTCCAAACACATGCGCTATTGGTAAATTGAATAAGCTGAATTGGCCATATTGTATGATTGTGAATGAGTGTTTCCCAGTACTGGATTGCTGCTGGAAGGGCATCTGCTATGTAAAACATTCCACTGTGGCTACCTTTTAAAATTGAAGCTAAGCCGAAGGAAAATCAATGAATGTATAGGCCTTTGCTAAATAACCACTGTACAGGGGTTTTGTCTATTTCACCTAGACTCCAGTATCCGGCCAGCTGAGCAGAATTTGAATTCCCACATGTAGCTGTGAGTTCATCTTTGGTGTGTGTGTGTTTTTTAGCCGATCGGAAAGCTGAGTCTGGCAGGTGTTCTCCACGCAGCTTCAGTCCTCACAGCAGTCAGCAGGGGGTGCTCAGGATACTGGAGGATCAGGAGGAGAATCAAAGCATCCACACCAGGAGAAGATCAACCAGTCCAGGCAAGAGAAATACACTCATAGCACTAAACACACTCACAGCCCTCACTTTACCAGCTGCTGCATGCAGAAGACTTATTTTAGCATATGGAGAGCTTCTGGCTTTATCATCTTCAAATCATTTTAGTATACACACGCACATAAACACACATGAACATACACAATGCCAATAGAAAATAATTTTCTATTATTAATATTATTATGTATTTATTATATATTTTTACTTGTGTTATTTATTTTTATTATTTATTTGCATTCATGCATGTATTTATTTGGTTTATTTTTATTTTTTTAATTTTATTATTTTTACTATTATTATTATTATTATTATTATTATTATTATTATTGGTTGATAATTTTAAAGAACATTCAGTCATTTTTATTTGTCTGTAATATAGCTAAATAATCACAATAAATGCATTCATGATGGTGATGATAACAATAACAACAAAGTGAAATATTTTTATTGCATCTGTACAGCATATGCTTTGTTTGGGTCAGATTTAAAACATTTGCAATCATGTTTATTACAGATTGATGTTTTGTCTAAAAATAATAATCAAGTGAGTGAGTTTGTTGTGTTTTATTGTGTTAATCTATTTTAAATACAGAGTTAAATAAATGTATTTTTTGCAATAATGTTATAATAATTAAGGGATCATTTTGGTTGCATTTAAAGATGATATAAATATCTTAAGATTTTCTAGTCCAGCAATCATTTACATGTTTGTATCTCATTTTTGGCACCCTTTGCATAAACCATATGCAGTTTTGATGTGTGTCATTATTTTCATTTCTTTTTCCACAGAGGGTAAAGAAGTTACTAGAGATCCGTCTCTTGTGGTGGCTTATGTGTGTAAGGTGAGAAAAACATCAAGTACAAAACTAAAAAAAAAATTCGATATTTAAATATTATATAAAAAATTGTTATTAATATAAAAATTGATATCAATATAAAAGAAGAATCCAGCCACTAAATGACTGTAAATTATAGTAATGTTAATTTCATCAATCTTGTCACTCCTAAGGTATGCTTGTGCTCAAGTTTATTGCTTAATCATTTATTTTTTTTTTAGTTACACTCCAGGACAGGAAACTTCCTGGTGATGAAAGCAAAAGAGATGGGCCTGCCGGTGTAAGTGATATTTATAAAAGATAAATATAGATAAAGATATCTATATAGGTATATGCTGATATCTAATAAAGCCTGATTTATACTTCTGCGTCAGGTAACCGGCGTAACCCACGGCGCATGCAACGTGCGTGGCTGTGCATTTATACTTCTGCGCGCTGTCTCTGTTGGTCTGCATTAACACTTCCGAAACACTAGTTGGCAGTGAGGTGTAAATGTTCCTCTGTGTCGAGTTTCTTCACTGCTTTTTTGCTTTTCCTGAACACTTCCGGGATGTACAAGTGGCTCAAACTCGCTCATTTTGAGGCAGGAACCGGCGGACGTGCAGCAACTTTAACTATGAGGTAAACACAAAACAAAACTTTCCATCCGGAGCTCCTTCACGGGACTCCACACTTGTAAACAATCCCTCGCGCCATTCGCGTGACTCTCGGTCCCGCCCAGACTCGTCAGCGCTACCAAGCCGACCAATCACAGAGCTTACGCGTCGTTGCGTCGTGTAGTTACATTTTTTGAGAGGTGCACGTCAGTGACGGCGACGGCGAAGGGCTATGTGTCAGCACCTCAGCATACGCCGGTGTTTGACGCAGAAGTATAAATCAGCCTTTACGCCGGTCACTTGACGCAGAAGTATAAATCAGCCTTAATTCAACATATTGTGATAACATGCACAATATTGATATCGTGGACATTTCAAAATACAGTGAATCATTATTATTTAAATTTTTACAGGGTGTCCAGAGGGCCTTAATTTTTTAAAAACAATATTTTAGGCCTGAAAAAGTCTGAAATTTACAGAAACATTATCTTGTAGGTCTTAGATAATTTTTCTATGTCCATTTAAAACTGTGCAGGTTAACTGATACCCATCCAATCACCAACAATCCATCTCAATAAAACTCTGTGTAACTCTATTTACCGTTCTTTAATTTTCTTCCTTACGACAACATTTGCTTAAATGTTCTCTGTGTATTTGTTGACCATATATGGTGAGGACACTGACCTGGGCGGACTGTTGACCATATATTTAGTTTATTATATTACAATTTTAAAAGAAAAGTCATGTTGAGAGAATGTGTATGTATACAACTACTTTCGACATTTTAAAATATATGACTAAGTAATAGCTTATTTGATGTCCCTGCACAAGTTTTTGCAACCCGGGCTCATTGTGGAAACGTAGCCCTGCGGACCGCGATTTACGTCCCGGAAGGTACGTATTCGAGCGGTTTTTGTTTTCACGGATCCGCGAGTGGCCGCTGTGCGTGCTTTTTCGCGTCTCTGGCTCGAACGGCGCGCGCTCCCGAGAGGCGCCCGAGATGCGAAAAAGCGCTGTTCTCGCGCGAAAAGCCGCCCTCCTCTTCCTCCTCCTCCTCCTCCTCCTTCCCTTAACTCGAGCGACGGTTCGCAAAAGCCGTCCAGAAAAAAAAAAAAGCAAAAGCCCTCGTCTTCGATTTCGACCGTGTTTTCGGATCCCGCCGCGTTCTCGCCCTTATTTTTCGGATTCCGTTTTTCGTCTTACCTGATTTCTGGAACCTGCTGTTCCCCGGACTCGATCCCGGTCGTCGTCCCCGCGGCCGGCTCCTCCTCCTCCTCCTCCGGGGCCTCCGCTCCGCCGACGCAACGCTGTGAGCTAAGCGGACAAACTGGTTGCATCGGGAAAGCCCTCCACTCGGAGGCGAGCTGTTGGGTGGCGAGCACGAAGAGGAGAGGCGGAGCGGCGCCACACCGCCCCGCATTAAAAATTAAACGCTGCCTTACGTACCTCCGGCCACGTAAATCGCGGTCTCCAGAAACGTCCATGGGGCTACGTTTCCAGAATGAGCTTGGGTTGAGTTTTTGAAATGTCATTCAAATGTCATAATGGTCTTAAAGTCTTAAATTTGACTTGATGAAACTATTTTTAGAGTATTTCTTTTAAAGAATATTCATATTGTATTTGCATGAGGTGTTCATGACAGCACTAAATGCTTGAAGACTTGAGTAGTTATTTAGCTTACAGTGAATATTATGCTAATCTGGGCTACTGCATGCTAAACTATATACTGAAAAATCTGACTAGCTGTTGTAAGTTAACACTGTGCAATTATAATTAACGTTATTTAAATCAATTTAACTCTTTAAATACAAAAATTCATATATTAATTGTAAATGATGATGATATTTTAAATTGCATATTAAAATCATAGCCTTAATCTACTTACAACACAAGTTGTGATGGTGGTATTAAATCTAATTAATAACAATTAATACAATTCTGTATTAGTTTTAAACTAACACTAATAAAATCTTACTGTTAATCTTAATTCATTAACTAACATTTGCTAATGAGACTTCTTTGTAAAGTGTCACCTATTGCATTTTATCATCCTTTTGCAATTTAATTTGGCTGAAATATGTTTACTATTTACAGTTTATATATAATATTTACATACACAAGCAATACACCTTATTATTATTTTTATAATACCTTTTAAAGCAACCTTTTTTACAGCATAGGACAATATCAGGGTTTATGCCCCAATTAATTGCTAGGCAAGTTTATTTATGTAGCACACTTCATACACAGTGGCAATTCAAAGTGCTTTACATAAACAGGAATAAAAGAGACAAGTGTAAGAAAATAAAAACAAATCATAAGAATTATAAAAATAAGAATAGAAAATAGATAAAAATGTGTTAAAATATGTTATAAGATAACATAAGTTAATTGTAGATTTTTATAATTGCATATTTATAATTGGATATTTATAATTGGATATTTATAATTGGATATTTATAATTGGATATTTATAATTGCATATTTATAATTGGATATTTATAATGGCAGCCAAGAAAATATCATGTCGTCATAAGCCTAAAATACATCTCTGATTTTCCTGTCTGCAGAGGAACAGCAGCCATCGGGCCCATAATCAAAGCTCTGAAATCTGGGAAGACTGTGACACATGAAGGAAAAGAGGTGACTCCACTGCAACTGAGATCTAATATCAAACATTTGCACTATTTCCATCTCCAAGGCTCATGTTTATTTCACAACTAGGTGCACTAATTGTCAGGGCCACTAGCCTGGTGGTTAAGTGCACTGACATATAGCATCATGGTGCTCACGGAGACCCGAGTTAGATTCCCGGTTCGAGGTCCTTTGTCGACCTTTCCCCTCTCTTTGTTCCCAATACTTTCCTGTCTGCAACCTTCACTATCCTATCCAAATTAAAGGTGAAAAACTTAAATAATTACAAAAAAAACCAAGGTGCACTAATTGTTAATTGCATTGTTTTATTGTATATTAATTAACGTTTCTCAAGAATGTAAATGCACCCAAATTAGCCCAAAGGCTTGTTTCCATTGGTCGTCTTTTTTGCCAGATGTTATAAACCTGGGGTGTTGCTTCAACACACCTGCCAGGAGGTTTCTAGTATATCCGGCAAAAGCTTGATTTGCTGGTTCAGGTGTGTTTGATTAGGGCTAAACCCTCCAGGACTGAGTTTAGACACCCCTGTTATAAACCAATACAAATACCGAATTCAGATTATAAAGAAACCTCCAGTGTTGAACAGTGGGGAGGATCAGTGTTATTTTGTTGTTGAGTGTTCAGTGTGTGTTTCAGATCCGGCCAGAGGAGCTCTGCACACCTGCTGATCCCGGACCAGTCTTTATAGTCGTCGACTGTCCGTCAGAGGACTTCATAAAGCCGCTCTGCTCCAATCCCATCTTGAAAAGGTCAGCTGTGGTCCAATGTTGAGCAATTTCAGGATGAGCTTCAAAACAGTCAGGCTTGATCGTGTCAGATCAACAGCAGTGAATGGTTTGATATTTCTGCAGGTTTCAGAGTGGCGGATCTGAGGACTCTGCTGCTCTCGTGGTGCACATGACTCCTGAAGCGGTGCTTAACACACAGGAGTACAAGAGCTGGATGGAGAGGTGCGCATAGTATGCACTGTGTGTCTCTGTGTTTGGTGTTTCTCTGTGTGTGCATTTGTTTTGTTTGTGTGGTTGTTGTGTGTGCCTGTGTGTCTATGTTTGTGTGTACATGTGTGTTTGTGAATGCTTGCATGTTTGCGTCTCTGTGTCTGGTGTGTCTCTGTGCCTGTGTGTATTTTTGTGTATGATGAATGCTTGTATGTTTTGTGTCTGTGTATCTCTGTGTATGTGCGCATTTGTGCGTGTGTGTGTGTGTGTGTGTGTGCGTGTGCGTGCATGCTCGCGTGCAAAATTGTCTATGTTTGTGTCTGTGTAGGTTCAAGGTTTTTGCCCGTGTGTCCATTTTTGTGTGTGGAATTGTGTGTACATGTGTGTTTGTCCATGTTTGTGAGTAAGTATCTATGTGTTTGTTTTCTCTGTGTATGTATGTATGTATGTGTGTGTGTGTGCGTGCATGTGTGTTTGTTTGTATGTGTTTGTGTGTGTGTTTGTTTGTGTGTGGTGTTCGTCTCTGTTTATTGTGTGTGCACGTGTAGTTTTCCATGTTTGTTCGGGTTGTCTTGTGTGTGTCTTATTTAGTGTGTGCATGTATGTGTTTGGTGTTTCTGTGTCTGTTTATTGTGTGTGTGTGTGCGCGCGTATTTGAGTGTGCATGTGTGTTTGTTATGTGTGCATTTGTGTGTTGATATGTTTGTGTATGTTTAGTGTTTGTGTCTCTGTGTTTATTGTGTGTGAGAGTGTTTGTCACTTTGTTTAGTGTTTGTGTGTGTGTGTTTGGTGTTTATGTCTCTCTGTTTATTGTGTAGGGATGTCAAAATTAATTGTTTCTTCGGTGCACCATGATGCAGATGCGGAAAATTCGATATCGGTTCAGTAAAAATCGTAACCAGCAGAAGCCCCTATTTCACTGTGATTGCGAGAATGAAAGTACTCCATTCCTCTCTCCCTTTCCCTCTCTCTCTCCTTCTCTCTCTCTCTCACACACACTCACTGTGGGCCCATTTGACCTGCTGGCGTGTCTTTTCCTCTCCTCTCGGCTGTTTTACATACTTCTGGATACAAACACGAGCGCGTACCTGCAGAGTTTTCTCCACCATGTCTATCATGAATCAGGTGGATCAGAAAGCAAGCAGGATATTTATATTTGTTTATATTAATTGCTATAAATCTTGGGTTGTTTAAAGGTACAGTTTATATATCTGACTGTTTGTATTAAATGCCAAAATTGCATTACAAATAGTATAAATATATTCATACATTTTATTACAAGAATTCTGCTGTTAAGAAAATAAAAATAAAATTAATAATAATAATAATAATAAAAAAAATGTGTATGGAAAGCACCGTCAATGCACCATGATGATCCGAGATATCGAATTGAACCGAATCGATGGCTTGATAATCATAACTGAACCGTGAGACCAGTGTAGGTTCACAGCTCTATTATTGTGTATGTTTCAGGTTTCCCAGCAGCACTGAGCACCTGCTGATGAATGAGCAGACGTTCACTCCACACAACGCACGCAGTCACAAACTCCAGACGCAGCTCAACCTCATCCATCCACACATCTTCCCTCAGCTCAAACTCTACAGGACTAAAGTACAAACACTGCTTTATTCATTCTTTGATTCACAGTTTTATTAATCATGACGTTTTGCCAAATCAATATTGACTATAGCTTCTCTTATTGACACGTTAATATCATTTTAATTATTGTTTTTTGTGTATTTATTTTGTTCTCTTTAGAGTATATTTGTTTATTTGTTTTTATTTATTAATATATATCTTTCTTATTTCTAATTTGTATGTTTTTGTTTGATAATAATTCATATTTCTTAGATCTTTCATTCGAACTTTAATCATTGACTGGGGTTTTTTCTGTTTTATCTGTCATTTCAGTTGCATTTTTTATTCTATTTCTGTACTGTCATGATTTTTATTTTATATATGAATTCAAGTGTAAAACCCTCTAAATCCATCAGACCTATTTTTTTTTTTATGAATGAGCATTTTCTATCAGGCTCCTATAATTAGTTTCACCAGTTTCATTTTATAGGTAATGAAAAGATTGCTAGCTGATAAATAAAATACCGTTTGTCATAAATGTCACCAAACAATTCTTTGGTCTTTAACAAGGTAAAATATTTTTTGTGTCAAAACCAGCTAAATCCATGTCTGCTTTTTATGCAAAAACCTCTAAATCCACCTATTAGTGTAAGACAGTGTATTTAGTTGATAATCACTAAAGATGCAATTACAAATTATTTTACCAAACATAAAACACATACACAAACTACCTAAAACTAAAAATACATCTGTCAGGTAAGTGGCGGTTCATTCCACTGTGGTAACCCCTGATAAACCAGCGACTAAGTAGAAGGAAAATGACTGAATGAAATCTGTCAAGTGCAATAATCAATAGCATTAAAAGTGACATTAGAGCTGCACGATTCTGGCTAAAATGATAATCGAATTTTTTTTTGTTGCTTAATATAAAGATCACGATTCTGTAGATGTAAATAAAGCTTAATATGAGACTATTGTTTTTTCTCAAACATATGGTAAAACAACAACAATAATAATATTATGTTTAGGTCTACTGGTTTCTATAAATAATTCTATTCTACTTATAATAATTCTGATTTTGAATTATGTTTGAGATATAGGCGTATGCTTGCAATCTGTCATTGAGAACATTATTAGACCATTTAGTTCACTGGTAAAATCAACATTATATAGGCTAGAGTAGTTATACTGACACTGTAAACATTTATTTTCATGCACAGCTGCTTATCAAATGCTTGTCGTAATCATAACTCTAAACTGCGATGGGATTATTTAAATGATGTGCATGCTTTCGGTTTCAATTTCACTGCTAAGTGCTGTTCATACTTCGTGCGTGGCTACAAACGATCACTCTGTGCCACAAACTGAATATCATTTATAACCTTATTACCTGTTACTCACAGCATATGCATGTTCTGTTCACTTAAGTAGGGCGCGTGCCCACACAGTCAGCTCACGTCACGTCACATTTATAGGTGAATTATACCTTATAAATACAGTATGTGACTCTTTTAACATCATTTGGAGGTGTCCATGTCGCTGAGCAACTTGTGTGAAACAATGTGAAGACTCGTGCAGCCGCCTTTGCTTCTCTCCTGAACTTAAAAATATGATTGGCATAATCGTAGAAATGCTGGATTAAGACCGTCAAGGGCAGGGGTGGCCAACCCTGTTCCTGAAGAGACACCTTCACGCAGATTTCAGTTGCGACCCATATCAAACACACCTGCCTGTAATCATCACGTGGTGTTCAGGTCCTAATTAATGGGTTCAGGTGTGATTGATATGGGTAGCAACTGAAATCTGCAGGAAGGTGGCTCTCCAGGAACAGGGTTGGCCATCCCCGGTCTAGGGGGTCGAATTGAGATTGCGATCTTTTTTCGATTAATTGTGCAGCTCTAAGTGACATTAATTTAATCTTAATAATCTGTTGTCATTTCTGATATTTGGCATTTAGATTTAATGCAAGTAGAACAATGTAAACATTGCAAACATTGTAAACTTAGAGATTCAAACAATGTAGTGTAAAAACATTCTAAAACATCAATATCTGAATTGTCCATTAATATAAAAAGCTGTTCAGATGTATGGGTATTATGAAGTAACATGAACCGCCAACTTATCCAGCAAGTTTTTACGCAGCGGATGCCCTTCCAGCCGCAACCCATCTCTGGGAAAATATGAAGTTATATAAATAATGTTTAGTTTTATGCATTATATTTATCTTTTAAAAATTAGCTTAAATTAGCAAATAAAACACAAGGTAGGTCAACTGAGCAAAAAGGGGATGCCTCTCAGACACTTTTTAGAAGCTGTCATTCATTCATTCTCACTATACTCAAACTCTTTGGGCCCTATCATACACCCGGCGCAGTGTGGCGCAAGCCGTAGCGCAGTAGTCTTTTGGTAGTTTCAGCTTGGCGCAAGAGTGGTTTTGAGGCGTTGCGCTACGCTGGTTAATTAGCAAATGCATTAGCGCTCATTTGTGCGCCTATAGGCTTTCTGGTCTAGAAAGGAAGGCGTTCTGAGGCGGACTGCTGGCGCATTGCTATTTTGAGAAACTATAATAGATTTTTCATTAGACCAAAACTAACCCGGTCTAAACTCCGGCGCAGAGTTGCGCCTCGCTTACACACTGCTTAATACGCACAAGAGAGCAATAGGCAAATATCTTTACATATGAAAAAATGTAAATATTAAGGATATATATATATAGGATATAATAAGAATAGATATAGGATATAAATATAAAAGATTAAAATATTACAAAACATCTTATTTTCTAGCCTATAATAAATATGAAAAATCACTGCTTTTATGTCTTCATCTCGGGAGGCTTTTTCAGTTCATTCATAACAATTTGCTTTTGTATAATGTTATTATTATTAGCAGTGTTATTTAATATATCCCTATTTATATTTGTTTTATTAAAAACAAGCTTAGATTTGCCCACCTGTCAGGTTTTAGACCATATGGGGCACAGCATGTGTTTTAGGATATAACTCAGGTTTTTGACCACACTTCGTTATTGTTATTCATTTATTTGTTTGCTGGAAATTAGAACTGAATTTAGAAATAGGTTTGAAACGAATATTTGCGCTTAACAAACGAAAGTATTTATTTATAGACTAATTGATGTCTGTGCGTAAAGGTTTCCCTATCCAAGAGCGAAAGTGAAAGTGATCCATTATCTCTCATTCTCACGCAGTAGATGCTCTGTTTAACAGTTTTCTGTTAAAAAACTGTTAACTGTTAACTGTTTCCTTGTGAAATGCAAATTTTTTCCACTTAGACTTACTTTGCGTCCTGTAAATAGCGAATGCGCTCTTGGCACGACGCAGCTGGGTCTTAAAGGGAATGGGAGATGAGATTCTAATTGGTTTATTCTCAAAACACACCTATAACTCATTAAGAAAATAAACTCAACCCTTTTAGACCATGCGCCGCGGCGCAAGGCAGATTTCGTCCTGACACGCCCTGAAAGCGTTTGCGCCCTGCGTTTTGCGCTCTGCGCATGGACCGTCAAAATAGAGCCCTTAGTCTCTTTTTAGTCTCTTTTTTTGTCCTCATAGCATCCACGTGGGATAAAAGGCCGGCTTCTTTCTTTATCTTTCGTGAAATCAAGTTGCCGTTTAATGTATAGTAAATCGGACTCATTCAAAGTAGCGTCGCTGCGTACAAAAACATTATGAATGTAACTTACACTTCCAACTGTACATTGTTTTTTTAGTATATTTTTAGTACACTGGCTGTACAGGAGTTGTTATTTTTTTATATTTTTTGTAGGATCCACCGGCTTCTCTGCATGTTCCTAATGTCAGAGCCGAGTGTCTGCTCAAGTTTCAGCTTCGGCCCAAACTGGAGTGGCAGAGGTCAGTTCAGGTCATTCATTTACACACGCTTCTCCTAGAATGAGCATTTTAACTGTCCTCGTATACATAGTTAGTATTTTACTAGTTTTTTCCAAGAGACTAAGGCCCAATCCCAACTCTATTTTTGTACCCCTACCCCTTCCCCTTGGCCCTTACAACCAAGGGTTAAGGGGACGGGCTTTACCTCTAAGCATTGGGTTAGCACTACAGCACCTGCACATGTCATCATACGTCCTCGCATTCGCTTGCTTCATATGAGATCAGACGATCGTGACTGCTGTAGTTATTCCAGTTGTGTTATTATTTTGGTATTTATCTTCAGGAAATCACTGAAGGCATATATTATGTTATCATAATGATATAATGTGCCAATTAGATCGTAACTTTACTGTTTACACCACCAAAAACAACATTAACTTGTAGCAGACATTGTAAAAAGCTCATTCTCAGTCACTAGACTTTTCTGACAGGATATTTGAGTGTCATCGATTGTCAGAATGTTGTGGGACTGCTGTAGCTGACTTGTTCCAGCCCAAACACTCCAAAACCCACCGAAATGCAAAAAAACCCGCCCAGTCATGTGGAAAACACATTAGAGGGGGCGGGCAGTACGTTGCAAAACCGCTAAAATGTTCTATACCTGCCTATGTCATTTCACACCCGCCCAATCTTGTTCAAAACCGTCCAATCTGGCAACACTGGCTGTACAGGAGTTGTTATTATTGTAGATTATAGATCGCACAATCGTGTTCAAAACCGCCCAATCTGGCAACACTGGCTGTACAGGAGTTGTTATTATTGTGGATTATAGATCGCACAATCGTGTTCAAAACCGCCCAATCTGGCAACACTGGCTGTACAGGAGTTGTTATTATTGTGGATTATAGATTGCACAATCGTGTTCAAAACCGCCCAATCTGGCAACACTGGCTGTACAGGAGTTGTTATTATTGTGGATTATAGATCGCACAATCGTGTTCAAAACCGCCCAATCTGGCAACACTGGCTGTACAGGAGTTGTTATTATTGTGGGTTATAGATCGCACAATCGTGTTCAAAACCGCCCAATCTGGCAACACTGGCTGTACAGGAGTGGATTATAGATCGCACTATCGTGTTCAAAACCGCCCAATCTGGCAACACTGGCTGTACAGGAGTTGTTATTATTGTGGATTATAGATCGCACAATCGTGTTCAAAACCGCCCAATCTGGCAACACTGGCTGTACAGGAGTTGTTATTATTGTGGATTATAGATCGCACAATCGTGTTCAAAACCGCCCAATCTGGCAACACTGGCTGTACAGGAGTTGTTATTATTGTGGGTTATAGATCGCACAATCGTGTTCAAAACCGCCCAATCTGGCAACACTGGCTGTACAGGAGTGGATTATAGATCGCACAATCGTGTTCAAAACCGCCCAATCTGGCAACACTGGCTGTACAGGAGTTGTTATTATTATGGATTATAGATCGCACAATCTTGTTCAAAACCGCCCAATCTGGCAACACTGGCTGAACAGGAGTTGTTATTATTGTGGATTATAGATCGCACAATCGTGTTCAAAACCGCCCAATCTGGCAACACTGGCTGTACAGGAGTTGTTATTATTGTGGGTTATAGATCGCACAATCGTGTTCAAAACCGCCCAATCTGGCAACACTGGCTGTACAGGAGTGGATTATAGATCGCACAATCGTGTTCAAAACCGCCCAATCTGGCAACACTGGCTGTACAGGAGTTGTTATTATTGTGGATTATAGATCGCACAATCGTGTTCAAAACCGCCCAATCTGGCAACACTGGCTGTACAGGAGTTGTTATTATTGTGGGTTATAGATCGCACAATCGTGTTCAAAACCGCCCAATCTGGCAACACTGGCTGTACAGGAGTGGATTATAGATCGCACAATCGTGTTCAAAACCGCCCAATCTGGCAACACTGGCTGTACAGGAGTTGTTATTATTGTGGATTATAGATCGCACAATCGTGTTCAAAACTGCCCAATCTGGCAACACTGGCTGTACAGGAGTTGTTATTATTGTGGATTATAGACGCAAAATTTATCGTTTTTTTAAAAAAAATTTTAAGCATGACGGTAAAACACGAACGCGGTTATGAATATATTAAAAATATATTAGCTATCCTGTCGTTGTGGCTGGTGTATTCTGAGAAATTTTCTTACTCCTTGGTTTCGAGTGTGGTCTTAAAATCTTTGTTCGAAGGGCTATTCGCCCCTTTCCCTTAGCCCTACACCTTCAAGCTGAAGAGAATTGGGACACCCCTACTTCTTGAAGTGAATGCGAAAAACGAGGGGTAGGGCTAATGGGAAGGGCTAAGGGATAGAATTGGGATTGGGCCTAATATTCAGCCTAAATTTTTATTTAATAAATTTAAATGTAAAGACTTAATTAGGTTAATTAGGCATGTCATTGGACAACAGTGGTTTATACTTTATTTACTATAATTTACTATAGTATTTTTTATGTGTATGCTTTTGTGTGATTTTATATTAAATGCGCGTTTGCGTGTGCATGTGCGCATGTAGAGACGCCATCCCATCCTGCGACTCTGAGGAGTTTGTGAAGGAAGCCGCTAAAGTGCCAAACTTTTTAGCGGAGGTTGAGGAGTGCAGGAAGTTCCAGGCGGCTGCATCCGTCTCCACGTCTGGTGAGCTTTCTGTCCAATCACAGACACACACACAGATGCAGAGAGAGAACGAGGGATGAAAGCGTACAGTTAGAAGAGCAGAGAGAGACAGAAACACTTCCACAGCTTGACACTTCATTTCCTCTGAGTAAAACTTTCTTCAGTCTCTGCTGTGTGTGTGTGTGTGTGTGTGTGTGTGTGTGTGTGTGTGTGTGTGTGTGTTTGTGTGTGTGTGTGTGTGTGTGTGTGTGTGTATGTGTGTGTGTGTGTGTGTGTGTCAGACGTTGAGGAGGCGAATCTGTGTTACAAAAATGAGGAAACGGCCCATAGTAAAGATGAATTGCTTGATTCCAGTCTGTATGATTTAAATCATTAATAACTCTTGTATTCTTAATTGGTTTTGTGCTCTTCTTGAGTGTTAATATGTTTTCATCCACATAAGTTATTTATTAAGCATTAGCAAGTAGTTAATTCATCATTTCTTAAGCGTTAACTCTAAGACCATTGTAAGCAGTTTATAAATACAGCTACAAATGCTTGTATAATGTAAAATTAATCAAAAGTAAATCTTAAAAACATTTTTTGTCATATTTTATGTATTATTTATTGCTGTTGATGTCTTTTTATTGTTATATTAACCTTTTTATTATTGAAGTGTTATTTATGAAGTGTTTGTACATTTGTTTTTTTGTCTTGAAACAGTCAGAAAAGCTGAAAACCTCTCGCTCTCTCTTGAATTTATAGCTAAAATACTTTAAAATAAGGGTCTATTAGTTAATGCATTTACAAATAATTAGCTATACGTTTATTACTGTATTCATTCATCTTTGTTAACGTTAGTTAATGTTATTTAGGGTACATTTTAGTTCATGTTATTTGACTTGTTGAGCTAACAAACTAGTTGATTAATAAATGATTTACAATAATAAATAAGTTGATTAATAAATGCTTTACAAGATGATTCATACTTAATGTTTGTAAATGCATTAACTGATTGACTATTATTCGAAAGTGCTAGCAAATATTCAAATAACTAATTGTTTTTTAATGGTTATTTTGCTCTTATTGAGGGTGTGTAGGCTGATTTAATTGTGCTCTTTACTTTTTCTCTTTTTTATTATTATTTTTTTTACAATGTTTGTTTGTTTGTTTGTTTGTTTGTATTTTGTGCTGGTAAAGGTGAGAAGTTTCCAGAAATCGTGTTTTTGGGCACCGGCTCATCTTTGCCTATGAAGATCAGAAACGTCAGTGGAACTTTAGTGAACATCAGGTAATGTCACAACTTATGCTTATATATTTATTTTACACACTATTTTACGGAGAGCAGATTTTTTTCAACACATTTCTAAACATAATAATTTTAATAACCTATTTCTAATAACAAATTTGTTTTATCTTTATCATGAAGACAGTACATAATATTTGACTAGATATTTTTCAAGATACTAGTATTCAGCTTAAAGTGACATTTAAAGGTTTAACTAGGTTAACTAGGCAGGTTAGAATAATTAGGCAAGCTATTGTATAATGATGGTTTGTTCGTAGACGATCGGAAACAAAATTAGCTTAATGGGGCTAATAATTTTGACCTATAAATGTTTTTTAAAAAAATTTCAAACTGCTTTTATTCTAGCCGAAATATAACAAATAAGACTTTATTTAGAATAAAAAAAATTTTCAGACATACTGTGAAAATTTCCTTGATCTGTTAAACATCATTTGGGAACTATTTAAAAAAGAAAGAAAAAAAAAAAATATATATATACAAACAAACAAACACACACACACACACACACACACACACACACACACACACACACACACACACACACACACACACAGTGTTTCCTCTAGGATTTTTTCCAGCTGTGGTGGCAGGCCTTTATTACACAGATCTACCAACAAACTGTGACATTATTTCAATGACAAATGTCCTGAGTGCAGTATTACGAGTCGAGATCGCATTTATATAATAGCCTACGAGCATGCAAATCTTTGCTCTCTCGGCAATTTCCTCTGCTCGTGCACAAAACTTTTTGCACTCAAATAAACGCTGCTGAAGTGCGATTTAGTGTGTTTATGTAACAAGCATGTCTCCAACATTTATTACATTTGCTAGGAATATTTATGAATGTCTCCAATAGACCTACAGAGCGGCATTAATGCGTCCTGAAGTAAAGTGAAACGGCTATTCGTCGAGTTTGCTGACCTCACTCATCACGCACCTGTCAGTCAGCCAGTCAGTCAGTCAGCACGTAACCTTAAAGGGTTAAACAAATAGCGCACAGCACTACTATGGTTACACAAAAGTTTGCGCTGTTATAATCCACTTACCTTTTAATATGTTTTGGTGCGATTATCACCCGCTATAAAAAAAAAACACGACTGAATGTTTTGAATGAAAAGCTGTAATGTAGCTGTGGCAGGATCAATTTTGGCGATGCACCCTGCCATGGAAGAATGAATGTAGGGGAAACCATGTGTGTGTGTGTGTGTGTGTGTGTGTGTGTGTGTGTGTGTGTGTGTGTGTGTGTGTGTGTGTGTGTGTGTGTGTGTGTGTGTATGTATATATATATATATATATATATATATATATATATATGTATGTATGTATGTATGTATGTATGTATGTATGTATGTATGTATGTATGTATGTATGTATGTATGTATGTATGTATGTATGTATGTATGTATGTATGTATGTATGTATGTATGTATGTATATATATATATATATATATATATATATATATATATATATATATATATATATATATATATATATATATATATATATATATATATATATATATATTGTAAGAATCAGCTCTTTGGTTTAAATCATGTTTAAACTTTGGGGATTCGAATCAAAGATTCGAACATGATTCACATAGAATTATTTAAAGCTTACACTTAACTTAAGTATTTGTCCAGCAAATAGAACGTTTAGTGTAAAGCAATCCTGTATTATATTATTACGTGGCCAACAATAACAATATAAAAACAGTATCTAATTATTTATTAAGCAAGGTAGCAGTATCTGAAGCTGAGACATTAACTTATAAAGCACACAACACACCAACACGGATCTTAAAACGAAACAAAAGTTTATTGCTACTCTATAACACAAAGTACTAATCTACGTAAAACAAACAAACGCACATACATACACACACGCACAAGCAGTTTGAGGAGAGTTTTGACTGAGTGGATTTAACTTCTAGCCTTTGCTAAGTTCTTAGCATTGCAACCTGAGAGAAACCATAAAAGCAGAGAATTTTGCTATTCTTTACTACTTAAACATAATTCACACCAGAGTCAGCAATGGATAGAAACCTTGTTTGTGCTACTTGCGTTCTGATGTAATTTGGTTTCCTCGACTGGTCCAAAGGGAAATCCCGGCGAAGCTGATTGGTCAGCGTAGCAACTTCAGTGACGTGATGGAATTCCCTTGTCGGTGAAGAGGGGTTTCCTTAGTCGGTTACTAGGGATACGGATGTTGGACAAGGCGGCGTTCGAAGTCCTTCCTGGGTTCCTGTAGTTAGGATGAGTTTCAGAGTTTGGATGTGTTGACCCGATGGCTTGTTGTTGAAGCGGTTGCACAAGCAGATCGGGGGTCGAGCCGGCAGCAAGTGAAGGTCGCGGTCAGCTCCGTGATGTAACGAGGCTTCCGGCGAGGCGATGTAACGGCCACAGCACGAGAAGAGCGACGTCCGGGCAGCGACGGCGGTGACGACTGGCAAAGATGACCGGCAAAAGACGACGATGAAATTTCTTTGTTCAAAGTTTTATAGGCTTTGGTAGAGGCTGGGTCTACACAATACTTGTCCAATCAGATAAGGTGCGGGGTGGAGTCACACCCCAATTCTGCCCTCTAGGAGGCCGGGTTGACACCTGGTGTGGGTGCTGCTTTGATAGCATAGTGGTTAAAATAAAGTCTTATAACATCGACACTTTTCATAGTATGGTTTCTTTATATAAACCAATGCATTTGAAATGTTCCTAGCTTTCAATCGATACCAAACATGAAGTATTTCACAAACATTCTGTAGATTTCATTTGTCACTGAGGGCTATTACTCAATAACTATCCATAACAGTTTTGTTAAACACATGGAACATGTACACACAAAAACCTACAGAAACATAAAGCAAACGTACATTACTCAAATAAACTGTTTTACTTAAATGTCCATTAAACTTTGGAAGCGTTTCTGATCGCTTCTGTGTCTGCCTGAGAATGTGTATTCCTTGCAGACGCCAAAGGGCAAGCGAACCAAAAGGTACTTCTCAAAAACCGGTTTGGTGGGTTTTTGATTGTAGAGCCTCTTATTGTTTTAGGGTGTAAAGTTAATTAACACGCAACTGTGATGTTGACTGGCTAGGTATCCTGTGGATTTGCCTTTTGCTGGGTGCCTGTGGATTGCTTTGAAAATGAAATCAATCTCAGACTCGTAGGCACCAACCAATCTTTTAAGGATAACATGGTCTGTGGCTTGTTCGGTTCTGGAACGATCCGTTGACTCCCCACATCATATATATATATATATATATATATATATATATATATAATTTATATATATATATATATAATTTATATTTTAATTAACTTATGTTTATTTTATTCATATTTTATATTCTAAAAATTATTTATATATGTGGCCTCACATCATTTGAAATCAGTTCTAATATTAAGCTGCAATAAAGTGCTTAAACTGTTGATTATTACTTAAAAACAGTTATAAACCAACAGAATTATTTATGATTTTTATAAATGTATTTATCTAATAGTTATTTTTATCCTTGTTTTGTGTTATATTGTGTAATTTAAAAGTGAAGAAAAGAATCATTTGCATAACTAATTTAGTATAGAATTAGAAACAAAACACTGACAATTATCGTTATATGGAGGGCTTATGAATAATATTATCATATTGAGACATTATTATTATCTATGTAAACATAGGTCATAATATTTTATTCATGATATTATGAGCATAACAATGTTTTTATTTAAAAGTGTTACTCATCATTAGGGCTGAGCAATATGATGAAATGTATTGTGTTAACAAAATAAAAAGTCATCCTTTCTATAATTCTTTTGCTGTCACAAATATAAATTATTATTATTATTATTATTATTATTATTATGTTTGACCTGTAATCATTAGTTTCTGAAAAGTGTTTTGTATTTTACTAATATTTGTTTTATATTTCTAACATTTGTTTTAATCAAACATTTGCAATGAAGCTGTAAATAAAGTGAGAAATATGATCACATATTAATGAATACATTTCTGGGTATATTAAAATGTTAAAAAAAAAAGCTCTGTTACATGTAGACAAGACAATATAGTTCAATTATTAATTGATTGACTCTGCAGAAATGGTGCTATATTGTGATACATTTCATTTACAGTATACAAGATGAATGATATTGTGATATGAGATTTTTGCTCTTATGATATTGCACATACTGTTTCATAAAAGCAGAAGCAATATTATACATGGCCTTTTTCACTTTGTTTTAGTCTTTCCGATTCACGTTAGCAGCTGTGGTAAAATCTTGTTAATCTTGAGTGTTACTGTGGTGACGATTGCTCCTCTGTCCTCCAGCTCGTCTCAGTCTCTGCTGTTGGATTGTGGGGAGGGAACGTTCTCTCAGATGTGCCGACATTACGGAGACGATGTGGACGAGATGCTCTCCAAACTCTCCACCATCTTTGTGTCGCATCTTCACGCAGATCATCACACGGTGAGGCCATCACTAACAAATATCCACAAGCAATGTGTCTGTCTGCACCAAACACAGCACAACAGAAACACTAAAATGCCAGCCATTCGTTTAAACACCAGCCACTGCACTCCTGACCAAATAGTAAGGGTTATAATCTAATTAATACACATTAAACCTCTTTAACATTATTAAAGTGCGCATTAACCAGAAGCTGCAACCATTTTTTTTTGTGTACCATGACAGAGTTCCTAGAGAAACTGAATACTAAATGAGACAGTGGACATGACTTGTTTTTCCTACTCTGAGCTGATTGAATGTAGTAAAGTAGGCATTTGATTCAGAAAAATCGGGAAATGAGTTTGGGGAGAGTAATTACAACCTATCAGACACCTCCTGCTCACCATTTCTGTTTGTTGTCAAAACTGACAGTTTGAGGGGCGTGGTTAATTGTTAGCCACGCCCAATACCTCAGACAGACCTAATCTGAGAATTTTACTAAAAACAAGCAGGAAGTGCATTTTCAGATTTCAATTAAAGATTATAAGAGCAAACTATTTTTTTCTTAATGACATGATCTGAGGTAAATGATCTGCTGCTGCTTTTTTTTTTTTTTTTTTTTTTTTTTTTTTTTTTTTAGTATGGCAATAAATGTCACATAAAATTCAAACTTGCAGTGGGGCCATTTAAACACTGAATAAAGCACATGATCAGTACCTGAGAGGATCGTTTTGCTGCAAAGTCACAGAAATAAAAACAGTTTCTAAAATAGAAATTTTGCATATCGCTTTTAAAATTATACTTTAGGCAGTAGTCAAAATCTGAAGTGGATCAAAACCTTTCATCAAAGTTGTCCTGAAACTGTTCAACAAACATTCCATTAAAACAGCACTCTTCCAGCTGTTCCTCGCATCCAATATTTTGTTTGTCATGAAGGGCATGCAGGAAATGTTCCTGAATGAAAGTGAAAGTCCTAAACTCATACCTGTCAACATTGGGATGTGAAAATAAGGGATATGCCCACCATAATAAGGGATCCCCCTATTCATTTGGAGCCGTTTCTTTGTAAATAAACAAAGTGTAATTAACCGGTTAAATTGTCAGTAATATGTTTAATTATTGTTATTTAGAAAAGAAAAAAATAGTAAACATTAGCAGCAAATAAATTAACAAACAGTTTAGCTTATTAAAATGAATAGCTGTTATAATGAAATAGAATCAAGCTATCAATCTCATTAGTCGTTTCTTCACTGTATAACTTACACATTCTGATTAAAGAGCAACGAATGAATCTCTTATTAATTTAGATTTTTTTTCCGTTTGATTACATTAAATAACAAGTGTCACTTTAAAAATGCACACATCCAACATTATAATGAAAGCATTCAACTTTTTTATGCTCATTTAGGACTAAATTACTTGTGTTTGAAAAAAAAAAAAACACCAAGATCGACATTTTTAGATATTATTATTATTATTATTATTATGAGTTTTGCATATATCTGTTTAAACGCAACCAAATCCAGACTTTTACTCCGGTTCAAATCATAAGTACAGAATCCGTTTAGGTAACAGCATCTATTTATCACTTTAGAGTGCGTCAGCTGACAGTCACGCACCGCTATATGACTGTTTTGAGGATTGCATATGAAAGGGCGACGGCATCTGTAATGAAAAGGAAGGGAACCCCGCCATTTTTATGTTTTTCAAAGTGTTTCCATGCCTAAAAAAAACCAAAGCACAGAACAGACTTTCATTTAGGAGCAAGGGGCGGCCCCTGGTGGTTCGGCAGTATGGGTTGAGTATAGGAAGGCTCGGCTCTTTAATGTTTATTTGCCACTCTTCAGAGAAAGACTGAAAATACGGGAAAATACCTTTACGGGATGATAGCAGAATAGAACTGTAAAATTCGTGAGAATCCTGGGAAAAATGAGAGGGTTGACGGGTATGGCCAAACTGCAGTTAAAGTCCACCATTTAACAATTTGGTAAATAATTTGATTACTGATGTCGATGTAAACACAGTCACTGTCTTTCTCCCCTGCGTCTGTGTGTTTGTTTTGCCTCTGTGAAAATCAGCATGTGCCCATATGGAAACTCCCCTTTTTATGCAATACCTTCCCTCTTTCCCTCCCCCGACACTCCCACCTAAACAGCTGGACACACCCACTTTCCTGACTTTTTTTTAAAACTAGAGGTGTGAAAACACACTGCTGAGACAGCGGGGTTTCGTGGCTCTTTAAAATTGTTCTGAGACCATTTAAAAGACATTACAAAAGTCATATTTTTATTGTTTTTTTTCAATCAATTTAATTTAATGAATGCAGTTAATGAAAAGAAACAATTATAAGATTATATTTTAAGGGACGAGGCAATGTGTGTTAAAATTGAACACATTTTTGTTTGGAATAATTAATCGAATTAGCGCATTAAATTAACAAATTTACTTTCATTGTGTTCTCATCACACTAACCAGTGTCATGAATAGAAGCCATGTATTGTAACTTTTGCTGTATGTTCTGTCATTCACACAGGGTTTGATTCAGTTATTATTGGAGCGAGAGCGAGCACTGGTATGTTCACATGTGTTATGTATATACTTTAAATTTGTATTTCTTTCTTGTGAATGGAATTTTTCACTGATTACGGCCTCTGTGTTGTAGAATAGTCTAGGTAAAGCTTTGAGTCCGGTGTACCTGATCGCTCCGATCCAGATCATGTCTTGGTTAAACCAGTATCACGACCACTGCCAGCAGATCCTCAGCCAGATCAAGTAAATAAACACTCACCAGTAACACTTTATACTAAGGTTGTGTTAGCAAATGTTAGTTAATTAATGCATCTGTTAGTTAGTTAATGTTAGTTAGTTAATGTTAGTTAGTTAGCAAATGTTAGTTAGTTAATGCATCTGTTAACATGAACAAATAAAGAATAATGTATTTATTACAGTATTTAAGCAAGTTAGCTTACGCTAGTTAATGAAAATACAATTGTTTATTGCTAGTTCATGTTGCATTAACTAGTGTTATCAGTTATGAATGTGTATGTTAATAATGCATTATTAAATGTTGGATTAATTATGAACAATAGCATTTATTAATCATAGTTTGTTAATTAGTACATTAACTAATGAAACCTTATTGTAAATCATGATCAACTCACTGTCATTCTGTCAGAGCATCTGTACTTTTCACAAATGAAAGTAAACACATTATCATTTGTTATAATGTGAATAAGTATAAAACTATGTGATCATTTTTATCATTCCAGTATAATCCCATCAAGGCTTCTGTGTGATGGCACTGAGAGCCCCAAAGTCAAGACCAAGTCCTTCATTCAGGCAGTGCTGAAGAAAAATGAACTGTCCAAGGTCTGTATGTGCTAGTTAACCTTTCTGTGACTGTAAGATTTTACTTGGTGATTAAAACCAAAGCGTGAAACGAAGGAAGCCTAAAGGACCTGCTCAACTATATGATGTATAGTATAATTAATTTATTTTTAGATTATCCATTAGTCATACCATTTTAGAAGCCAGTGTTAGTCTATGTAGATTGTACTGTAATTTTGATGCCGCTACAAAGATTTCCTTTTGGTCATGCATGGTTTACTACAAACTATGATTTCACCAAAACAGATATTATTTTCTTTTTGGCTCAGTCCCTTTATTAATCTGGGGTCGCCACAGCGGAATGAACCGCCAATTTATCCAGCAAGTTTTTACGCAGCGGATGCCCTTCCAGCCGCAACCCATCTCTGGGAAACATGCACACACACATTCACACACACTCACACACACGCCATGGACAATTTAGCCTACCCAATTCACCTGTACCACATGTCTTTGGCCTGTGGGGGAAACCGGAGCACCCGGAGGAAACCCACATGAGTGCAGGGAGAACATGCAAACTCCACACAGAAACGCCAACTGAGCCAGCCGAGACTCGAACCAGCGACCTTCTTGCTGTGAGGCTGCAGCACTACCTACTGTGCCACTGCGTTGCCCAAAACAGAAATTGTAATATTTTTTTATAGCTTACTTTTATTATTTAATGTTCAGGAAAGGTATTTGAAGTGAGGTTGAATCTTTATGATGTTGCCAAATTTATATAACAGAATATTATAAATAAGGCGGCGCAGTGGCTCAGTGATTAGCACTGTCGCCTCTGAATTGTATAAATAAGCAAGAAACTCTGATTAATTTATAGTGAATAAATGGAGAATTATTGGACTTTTTGTGATATATATTTTTTTATCTCTTATTCTCGGTCTCTCTCTCTGTAGTTTCAGACGTGTTTCGCTCGTCACTGTAAGAATGCATTTGCCTGCAGTTTAACACATGAGTCTGGCTGGAAACTGGTGTTTTCTGGAGACACCATGCCTTGTGATGCCCTTGTTGATATAGGTAAATACCACACACAATATGAAAACAATGTGAAGATATACACGATGCGTATATTATAGAGCTTCAATTTTGATGATGTTTTTATGACATCATACAATAATGATGTTTTTACTTTTACAAATGTTTAGTTTGGTTATTATTTAGTTCACTTGTGAATCTTTTGAAATCCTAAATACATCTTCAAAAGAAATACTGTTAGTTTAAGTTTTGTTTTAAACCTGTATAGAAAAAAAGAAGGAAAAAAAAAGTCTGTAGTAAAAATCATTTGTGTCGATGTAAATTGTGGTATTATGTGTAATAATGTCCTACTTGTTAATATTGGTTAACTGTGTTCATTAACATCAACGGTAAGCAATAGCATTTGTCAAAAGCACTTACACAAAAGCATTTATTAATCTTCGACAGTGTTATAGTTACAATTAAAAGTATATGCATTTGGATGGATAGAACAATAGACGATGGATTGATAGAATGATGGATGGATGGATGGAAGGAAGGATGGATGGATGGATGGATGGATGGATGGATGGATGGATGGAACGATGGATGGATGGATGGATGGATGGATGGATGGAACGATATATGGATGGATGGAACGATAGATGAGCGATGGATGGAATGATGTATGGATGAATGGATGGATAGAACAATGAGTGGTTGGCTGGATGAATGGATGGATTGCTGGATGGATAGAACAATAAATGATGGATGGATAGAATGGTGGATGGATGGATGGATGGAACGGTAGATAAATGATTGGATAGATAAAACAATTGATGAGGGATGGATGGATGGATTGAGAATGATAGTTGGATGGAACAATGGATAGCACAATGGATGGATGAATGACAGACAGATGGATTTTACGGATAAATGGAACGATAAATGGATGGAGGGATGAATATATAGAAAGATGGAGAGATACAATGATGGATGGATGAATAGATTGATAGATAGGCAGAATGATTGATGAAGGGATATATAGATGAATAGATTGATAGATAGGCAGAATGATTGATGAAGGGATGTATAGATGAATAGATTGATTGATAGGCTGGATGGATGGATGGATGGATGGATGGATGAAAGGATGAATCAAACGGTAGATAAATGGATGGATAGAACAATAGATGAGCGATGGATGGATTGATAGATAAACAATAATTGGATGGATAGATTGATGGACAGAATGATGGTTGGATGGAACGATAGAACGATGGATATATGTATAGATGGATAGAAAGATGGAGGGATAGAATGATGGATGGATAGATTGATGATAGACAGAATGATTTATGGATGGATGGATGTATAGATGATGGATAGATTGATAGACAGAATGATTGATGGATGGAAGGATAGATTGATAGACAGGCAGAATTATGGATGGATGGATATAATGGTAGATAAATGGTTGGATGGATAGATGGAATAATAGATGAGCGATGGATGGATGGATTGATAGATAGGCAGAATGATTAATAGATGGAATAATAGATGAGCGATAGATGGATTGATGGATAGAATGATGGAAGGATAGATTGATAGATGGGCAGAATGATGAATAGATGGAATAATAGATGAGCGATAGATGGATTGATGGATAGAATAATGGATGGATGGAAGGATAGATTGATAGATGGGCAGAATGATGAATAGATGGAATAATAGATGAGCGATGGATGGAATTATAGATGGAATGATGGAAGGATAGATAGACAAGGATAGATGGATGAATTGATGTACAGAATGATGGTTGAATGGGATGATAGCTAGAACAATGGATGGATGTATAGATGAATAGTATGATAGATGGATGATGGAAAGATGAAAAAAGCAAGAAAAGTTAGCTTAAAACAGAAAATGTAAAACAAAAACGAATTCAAAATATGAATAAAATGATAATGATCTCAGTATTGTAACAGTTAAAAATACTGAAAACTATATATTAAATATTGCGAGCATACATCTATTTTGACCGATTCCTTCAGATTTACAAACACACACATTTATTTAATAGCACACAATTACACTTTGCTTGTGTTTTTGATTTATTGTTACATGCTCATCATTGATTTTTCCATCTGAAATTTTGCTTAAACCAAACAGTATCTTTTTTTCTACACATATTCATATATACGTTTCGCTCAAAGTCTCCCTTCATTCAGAATCAGGTCATTAAACGACCATCAGTCCAGCGGTAGAGAGAGAGAGTGAGTCTGTAATTGCGTCTGAATCTCTGTAGTGACTCGCGGGTCGATACGGATGAAGCCTGCGTTTAAATGCTGCTTCCTGTCTTTATCAGTGGCGCAATCGATCACTTCTGAGTCTCCCAATCCTCTTTAATGGCTCCTGAGGGAGTCTCCCCCCTCCCGAACGCTGGAAATGGTTCGCTCCACTCGTCTCATTAGGAAAGGCCTTTGTCGTCTCGGCTCTTGCTGGAGTTTTCATGATTGATTTCTGGAGGGAGGGAAAAATGGAGTGTGTGTTGGTGTGTGAATGTTAGAGTGTGTTTTACAATGGGATGAAAGGGGGAAGAGCGTGTCAGATGTAATTTATCTGTGTGTGTGTGTGTGAGGCGAGGAGAGAGTTTGATTCATCTTTTGGTTTGTTCTCAGGCAAAAACGCAACTCTTTTGATTCATGAAGCCACGCTGGAGGACGGGATGGAGGACGAGGCCTTCGAGAAGAGACACAGGTGAGGAAACTGATTTAGTGGCAAATTCTGAGCTGTTAAAAGGGGGCCTGTTATAGAAAAATCACTTTAATAAGAGGTTTAAACATCATTTTGTGACAGAAATGGGTGTTTATAATCAGCTTCCAACGATAAAGATTAATTTTATTTGTTATAAACACACTTGATAAAAACTGTCTGCAGAAACACTTTGATTGAACAGTTTGTATATGTCTTCAGAGGGGGAAAGCCCCGCCCACTAGTGACCATTTCTCTCTCATAAGCATAGGACGTCAGTCTTGTTTTTGAATTTGCCACTATGCTGACACGCAGGCATTTGTAGCTTCCCACGCTCTTTTAAAAATTACACAATCTCATTTGAATTTAAAGTGACGATCACCAAAATGGCTCATAATAGGTCCCCTTTAAGAGCAATTCTGAATTAGAGGGTTATATATTAGGGGTGTCAAAATTAAAAGTTTTTCGGGGCACCGCGATGAAGACGCGTACAATTCGGTATCGATTGAGTAATATTCATAACCAGTTATTATGTACTGATGTCATTTATCTCAAATGCGTTCTGTCGCGAGGGAGGTGAGCGGGGTTATTTACAACACTCCAGGAGCCAGCTCAGGGCCGGCCCGTGGCATTGGCAGTATAGGAAAATCCTAAGGGCGCTGTACATCCAGTGGGCGCCAGAAATGAGCACGGTTCAGTCGGTTTTGTTTTCGATACTCCTGACACATTCAGTTATAGCGGCAATAACTCAAAAACCTCTTACCCTAAAAAGATCTAAAGTGTGTTTCCTACAAAAGGACAAAGCTGGTTATGTTTCACAGCTGTCTTTTTCTTTTTTTCGCTCGACATTACGACCACTGCTTCCTTTAAGCCGGGAGAGCTTGCGCGGAGCTCTCAATAAGGGGCCGTCGGAAAAGTGCTTCTTTTTTTTCGTTTTTATTAAAAAAAAGTTGTTGTTTTTTGCTCCGCTCAGCGCGAGCTCTCCCGGCTAAACGCGTATTGTGAGGGCTTAAGTGTGTGTGTGTTTGTTTGTTTGGTGCTGTCTATGTTGTTGTATGTGTGTGAAAGAGAGACAGCGATGCTGTGTGTCTCTGTGTTTATACAGACAGCTTGATATAGCCTCCCCCTAAAATTTAACACTGTGTATGGAAAGCATCGTCAATGCACCGTGATGCACCGAGATATCGTATTGAACCGAATCGATGGCATGATAATCGTAACCGAACCGTGAGACCGGTGTAGGTTCACACCTCTATTATGTATAGTGTAAGTATGGTTTGGGGTTTCATGAAAGTGGTGCTAAATTAAAAGGTTAGTTCACTCAGACATTAAAATTAGCCCATGATTTAACACAATTCTTCTTTCAGTCACATCAAGTTGTTTTATTCATTTTTAAAGCTCTATAATTGCAATAGATGGGTATTTCTCTTCAACAATCCAAAACCAGAGCTCATACGGTCCCGGAAAAACAAATAATCTCAAAATGTTTTGGTAAAGTCATGGAAATTTGTTAAAGTTGTCCGTGTACTTGAATATATCTGAGATAATATTGGGTAAACGTCAAATGCAATTGCGCAGTTTGTCTCTTCACTTGATGTTCTCTTTTTGAGGTAAAAAAAAAAAAGCAACCCGCAGTCTGAGCTTCGCCTCTCTTTCACTCACTTTTACCATAATTCAAGATACATTTTAAATGTGGTGTCTAGAAACAATATTAAACTACAAGGGTAAGATACTGTGGGTGCTAAAAGCTAATATGTACTAAGCATGGGCCTGTGTAAGATTCTGACGGTATGATAATCTTGGATAAAAATATTGCGGTTTCAGGCAATGACGGTATTGTGATTACTGCTCTAAAATAAGTTCTATTTTTAAATGTCTGGATAAAAAAAAAAAAAAAACTATCCCCCTCTCCCCATTGAACACAATTTGCTTTATTTCTATGAACATTTAAAGTATTTTGGAACAGTAAACATGTCAGGCTAAGTAATTAAACTGAATCATTGACTTCTGCTGGCTTCATTGGTTTCAAAGCACTGATTTCTTTACATCTTTGGAGACCTTTCTTTTCTTTTGTATAAAGTAATCCACTATATAAAGTAAGCCACTGCTCTGTTTGGCTCTAGAGCAGGCTTGGATGTTGGTTTATAAGCGAATTGACTGATAGCGTTTGATTTGTAGATACTGTTGCCTTAAAAATCTAAATAAAATAGTCAAAAAACACATAAGTTACAAATGTACAGTACATAACAGAACATTTTGGCCGTTTTAAAACCTTGACTTTTCCAACCACGGTAAACCTTGAAACCGTTTATCATGCCATGCCTAATATGTACCATCCTAGAAGTCGAACACTTCTAAAATATTTTCAAACAGTAAGCAAGAGATTTTCTATAAACTATTTTACAGATATCAAACTAAACAATCTACATAGATTGCCACATTATTTTAATATGCTGTAATAAATGTGAATGTGTTTTCTAATTTACCATGTGTACGTGGACATTATACATGGCCTAATGTTGCATGTATTTATCTAAATGTTTTGGAAAAGATATGGAAAAGTTCTAGAATTTCAGTAGCAGAAATGTGTGCGAACTAGGGATGCCACGGTTCTCAATATAATATTGAACCATACGGTACGACCTCCACGGTTCAATATGCGCTTGTGAATTTCGGTTTTCTCGGTTTTGAGTTAAAATAATTCATGTGCATTTTATATCTCCCCGAATTGACTGTGTTTGCCTCTAAATCCATAAGCTGAGATGAGGAAACTCCTCCCCGCGAGTAAATATCCAATCACTGTGCTCTAAAGTTAGGGGTCGCTTGACCATCATTCCACACTTTAACATGGCGAGCGGCGGTGAAGTGAGGCTCAGGCAACAGTACAAGGAAGCGCCGGCAAAGTGAGGCAAGAGTAAAAGACGGCGCCGGCCTCTTTCAAATCTGTGATGTGAGGACATGTTAGTGAAAATCTAAACTGTAGAACAGCACCAATTGTGACCAAGTGTTACCAAAATAATAATAAACCTACTGAACATTATATTGAATTGACATTAGAATATAATGCATATAAACCAAAAGTTTGGATACACCTTCTCATTCAAAGAGTTTTTTTATTTTTTTTTCATGACTATAAAATTTTTTTAGATTCACACTGAAGACATCAAAACTATGAATTAACACATGTGGGGATATATATATATATATATATATATATATATATATATATATATATATATATATATATATATATATATATATATATATATATATATATATATAAATAAATATACATACACACACACACACACACACAAACACACATGTATACATATACACGTAACAAAAAAGTGTGAAATGCCTAAAAATATGTTATATTCTAGGTTCTTCTAAGTAGCAAACTTTTGCTTTGATTACTGCTTTGCACACTCTTGGCATTCTCTTGATGAGCTTCAAGAGGTAGTCACCTGAAAGGGTCTTCACTTCACAGGTGTGCCCTGTCAGGTTTAATAAGTGGGATTTCTTGCCTTATAAATGAGGTTAGGACCATCAGTTGTGTTGTGCAGAAGTCAGGTGGATACTGAGCTGATAGTTCTACTGAACAGACTGTTAGAATTTGTATTATGGCAAAAAAGCAGCTAAGTAAAGAAAACGAGTGGCCATCAATACTTAAAAAAATGAAGCTCAGTCAGTGCGAAAAATTGAGCAAACTTTGAAAGTGTCCCCAAGTGCAGTCAAAAACCCTCAAGCGCTACAAAGAAACTGGCTCACATGCACACCGCCCCAGGAAAGGAAGACCAAGAGTCACTTCTGCTGCAGAGGATAAGTTCATCCGAGTCACCAGCCTCAGAAATCGCAGGTTAACAGCAGCTCAGATTAGAGACCAGGTCAACGCCACAGAGTTCTAGCAGCAGACACATCTCTAGAACAACTGTTAAGAGGAGACTGTGAAGCAGGCCTTCATGATAGAATATTTTCTAGGAAACCTCTGCTAAGGACAAGCAAAAAGCAGAAGAGACTTTTTTTGGACTATAGAACACAAGGAATGGACATTTTTCCAGTGGAAATCTGCTTTCTGATGAGTCCAAATTTTATATATTTGGTTCCAACCACCGTGTTTTTGTGCGAATTAGAAAAAGTGAACGGATGGACTCTACATGCCTGGTTCCCACCATGAAGCATGGAGGAGGTGTGATGGTGTGGGGGTGCTTTGCTGGTAACACTGTTGGGGATCTATTCAAAACTGAAGGCATACTGAACCAGCATGGCTACCACAGCATCTTGCAGCGTCATGCTATTCCATCCGGTTTGAGTTTAGTTGGACCATCATTTATTTTTCAACAGGACAATGACCCCAAACACACCTCCAGGCTGTGCAAGGGCTATTTGACCAAGGGGAGTGATGGGGTACTGCGCCAGATGATCTGGCCTTTACAGTCACCGAACCTCAACCCAATCGAGATGGTGTGGAGTGAGCTGGACTGTAAAGTGAAGGCAAAAGCGCCGACAAGTGCTAAGCATCTCTGGGCACTCCTTTAAGACTGTTGGAATGCCATTTCAGGCGACTTCCTTTTAAAGCTCATCAAGAGAGTGCCAAGAGTGTGCAAAGCACTAATCAAGGCAAAAGGTGGCTACTTTGATGAACCTAGAATATGACATATTTTCATTTCACGTTTTTTTCTAAAACAGCAATATCACCACCATTATATTCCCCAATATCCACACTACATGACATTACCCAAACAGTCCATCAGTTTTGTTTATTAAACATCATTTTAATCGCCTTATAAGACTTATTTTTTAAGCATCACATGACACTGAAGACTGGAGAGCTGAGTGTGAATTGCTAATGCTGAACATTTAGCTTTGATAAAACCCAGATTACAGCATATTCACACAGAGAAGTCATTTTAAATGGACGAAATGTTTCACTATATCGCTACATATGTGGTCAAATAAATCCCAACTAATCAGAAGCTTTTCAAACCCTACCAACCCCAAACTCTTGAGCTGCAATTACCATAATGAAACGTATAATGACTGTGTATTGCCATTGATTTTCATCAACATTGTTCCTATATAATGATTGCATTAATTATCTTGCATAAATAAGGCCTCAGTTAATCAACAGCCGTAATCGTCAGCTCTAGTCTCCAGTCAAGAGATTGCATCCGGCAACTAACGAAACAAAAGTGCGTGAAACCATCCTTCTGAGAGAGCGTTTGAGAGCTAAAGCGCACACATTTGCAAGCAGAGGGAGGAAATCTTCAGAAATAAGTGGTCAGGTTTCCCAGAGGATGAAGCGCTTCTTGATGGAGGACTCATTTAAAAGCGTTTCTCTCTCTGAAAGTTGTGGGATTCTCCTCGTAGATGAGCATTGATTGGGTTTCTTGTCATCCGCTGGAGTTTGGCTCCCGCATCGGAGCTCTTTCCAATTTAAGAGCTGAATAACACTGAGAGCCCTCTGAATGGAATCGATTGGAGATTTTGTGCAGGATTCATTTGGGTTTCGGCGAGGAATTGATTGCCTTTGAGAGTGGAAAATGTGGTCATGAAGAAGTTTCGGTTTGGGGTTATAAGATGAAATTCAGAAATGTACAGCTTTGTGTTTCAGGCGTTGTAGAAAACTGTTTTGAGATCAGCTTTTAAATATGGGAAATTGAATGCAAAACAAACACTGAGCTATAGGGCTAGGTTTATAACAATGCAATATTGAATTGTGATACAAATCGGTCGATGAAGGTGATATGAATTAAACCGAGAGCCAATCACAATGCAGAAATATCTGACTTCATTTAGGTTTCAGTGATTGCCTTTGAGAGTGGAAAATGTGGTCCACTAGAAGTTTTGGTTTGGGTTTATTAGACTAAATTCAGATATGTACAACTTTGTTTTAGGGTCTTAGGAAATAGATGTGAGATCAGCTCTCAAATATGAGTAATGTGTCTACGAAACGAACTAAACATGCTGCTATTGGGCTAGGTTAATAATATAGTATAATATTGAACTGCGACTAAATTGGTCTATAGTATAGTATAGTATTAAACTGCGACTAAATTGATCTTTAATGCTGTGTTCACACCAGACGCAGAACGCGCGGAAAAATCGTGCTATTTGCGCGTAAATTGCTGCGTGAACATTTGAGTTTACTCGCTTCATTCGCGTGTCAAACCCCGCTTCATTCGGGTGTGAAATCCGCTTCATTCGCGTGTCAAATTTACTTCAGAACAGACGCGAATTCGCGTGATGGGCAGGGCTTCTGTCTGCCCGGTGACTTTAGCTTCGTCGCTAACATGGATTTTATTTAGAAAATAACCGTGTTTATGTACTTTATGAAGGCTGAAAAACAGCATCGATACGTTTAGGACCGTGTCTGAGTCCACTACATGCTTTCAGAGGTGCATCCAGCTCTGTGAGCTCATAAACTCCTCCAGAAACTGAACCTGGATCACGGAGGCTTTCAACGGTGCATATGACTGAGCCAAGCCCAGTTTGATGACTTGTTGTCGGTGTCGCCTGGAGGATTTCCCCTGGGACACCATCAACAGGTTCTATGTCACAATCACACCCCCACAAGAGCAAGCTTCTGATTGGTTAACGCAGCGCGAATGTTCGCTGAAGTTCAGATTTTCGAACTCGAGAGATTCGCACGAAACGCTCGTTAAGTGCGTCAAACGCGCAAAGCGCTCAATTTGCCTCGCGCGTATCGCGCTATTCGCACCGCGCCATTCGCGCAATTAACGCCATTCGATCCGCGCCATTCGCGCTTATCGCGCCGCAGGATGTCTATTCGCGCGTTTGCATTGACGTCTGGTGTGAACGCAGCATAACAAGGATTGGCTTTGGACATTATTTACTTGATATGAATTAATCAGAGAGCCATTCAGAATGCAGAAACATGTCATAGCATTTAGGTTTTGGCAATTAATTGATTGCCTTTGAGACTGGAAAATGTGGTCCTCAATGGGTTTGAAGGGGTTAAACAGTGTTTCTTAACTATGTTCCTGGAGGACCACCAGCTTGTGGTTCCAGAAAGTGGAATAATGTCTCTTATTTTGTTAATCTAAAGACAATAAAACCTTGATCACACAAAAAAAGAAAGTTAAAAATGTGGTCTAGAACAGAGTTTCTCAACCAAGTTCCTGAAAAGAAGTTTTGGTTTAGCATTGTAGGAAACAGATCCAAGATCAGTTCTCAAATATGAGAAATTAAACATGCAGCTATTAGGCTAGGTTGATTAATAAAATCTTGAACTGCAATTCAATTTGTTGAAAACGATGATGAGCTTTGGACATTTGCTTGCTTTGAATTAATGTGAGAACCAGTCAGAATGCAGTAATATGTGACTGCATTTGGGTTACGGTGATTGCCGAAGGGGAAAATGTAGTTCAGAAGAAGTTTAGGGTTGTTAGATGAAATTCAATGAGATGAAACGTACAACTTTGTTTCAGGCATTGTAAGAAACAGATTTGAGATCAGGGGTCCGTTTATTTACCTTGCTTAAATAATCTAAGATGATTTTGCAGATCCTGGATCTTTTAATCTACATAACTGATCTCTGGCTAATTTGGCTTTTCAAACAAGTTTGCGAATCAGAATAAAATGTCTTAATGAACTGATCTGAGATCGCAGTGGGTGTTGTGAACGACTGATCTATCAATCCTCAAAATCATGATCAGCAATGCAACGATTGGCTGACAGCACAGCAGCATAATGACATCATTTCATTAATATTCAATTATCCATGTGAGCAAAATTACATAAATTTAATTTGTTACATATAATATAATGTTCTCTGTTAACCCCTTGGGGAGAGAACAACCATATGACAGTTTTTGTACTGTTATTTCAGAGTGTAGATTGCATAAGTTTTACTTTTTTTATTTTTATTTTATTTTTTACTTATGTTAATATATATATATATATATATATATATATATATATATATATATATATATATATATATATATATATATATATATATATATATATATATTGTAACCTTTATATCTATAGGTTACTATTGCAAGAAAATATAAGCATTTGGTACATACTTTCAGTATTAACTTTGCTTAAAAAGACGCCATTCAATCCTGTTTATATGAAATAAGCTGCTGCTCCCGAGCAGATTTGAGCTATCAGACCTGTTGCTCTGACAGCAACTGATGAGCAGGGCCAGACGGAATCTGCAGACGTTTTTTGCTATTTCTGCAGAGAATTTTGGTAAAAATCTGCGGAATTATTTTGGAAATATCCAATGGAGTATCATAACTAAAACCTTAATATGGTAAATAAAAAGTAATAAATTACTCAATAAAAACTGAATAAATTCATATTTACACATTTACTCAAGTAAATAAATAGAATTAATAATGGGCTAAAAATCTCCAGGAATTCTGCGGGCCTACTGATGAGTCTTGAAGAGTGAAATGATCCTTGATCGAGTCAAATTATTAATAAACAAATCCAGCTAATTGAGTAATACAAAAAACGGATCCCTGCTCTCAAATATGAGAAATGAGTGTGCAAAACTAACCCAACGTCTAGCTATAAGGCTAGGTTGATAATATATTATCGAATTGCTATTAAAACTGTCGATAGTAATGGTATTTGACACTTTATGAATTAATTGGTTACTAATTGTTTACAAGAATATTGTTGAAGTTTTGCACATTTAATTGAACTTTTTCAAAGTTTCTGTTCCCTTCCTAAAAATATACATTTTAATACACAAAAAATGCACTTGATTCAGTTGTTTTACAGGTGTGTAAAAAAATCACAGTTTAGCTTCATTGGGGTCAAAATGACCCCACAGAAAAGTGAAAAAAAAAAAAATCATTCTTTTGTCCAAAACAAATGTTAACCCCATTATAAATCTGGAATGTTTTATATTTCTGCAAAGGCCTGAGTCTAGAGCACAAATGAAAATTAGAACAGAAATTGTATCTTTTATGTGCACACATGCAAACAAACACACATGTATGACTGTAACAGAGAACATTTTTATAGAAAATGGCAAAACAAATCTACAGAACTGACAGAAATCTGAATAATGCTCAGACATAAATAAATAAATAATTAAAAAAGCTCAATCAACATGGAGTGTGACACATGCACATGTAGTTGTCAGTAGTTCATTTCATTTTGGCACATTGAAATTGGCTGTTGTTGCAAAAGCAGACAATTACAAATAAATCAGACAACAACAATTTATCCTAGAGGTCTGACTGTGAAACTCTCTGCAGCACCACGTCTCAGGCTATCGGCATCGGGATGAAGATGAATGCTGGATTCATTGTTCTGAACCACTTCAGTCAGCGCTACGCCAAGATCCCTCTTTTCAGCGACGACTTCGATAACAAAGTTGGCATCTCCTTTGACCACATGAGGGTGAGGATACACATCAGTTGATAAATAAATAACTAATTCTACTTGACTGTTTCAACTCTTACAGTATGTGCTGTTGAGGATGTTTTCATCCACTCTGGGGTGATTTCGAGTCTTAATTTGGCCATGACTTTCTCTGTGTTTCAGCAAATAGAATGATCTTTGGTGACATCTAATTTTGACATATTTTGTGAAAATGCTTTGAATTTTCAAAAAATTTCAACAATACACTCTGGGCAATTTGACTACCATTTCATTATGTTGGTGGCTGTTTTTGGCCCATAGACATCCATTGCAATCACATTTTCTAACTGCGAAGCCATGACGCCATATAATCATGCATTTTTGATTGCTGCTGGTAGTTTTTACTGTTGATCGTCATTTGTAGTGCAAAAAAAGCTTACTTTCTGGCTTAAAATGATATGAATATAGGAACTTACATTGACATGTCTGAGAAAATCAAAATAAGCCGTTCAACTCTCATGCTGCGTTCACACCAGATGCGGAACGCTCGTCAAGTGCGAGTGATTTACATGTTAAGTCAATGCAAACACGCAAATAGACATCCTGCGGTGCGAATGGCGCGGTGCGAATTGAGCGTTTTGCGCGTTTGACGCGCTTAACGAGCATTTCGCACGAATCTCTTGAGTTCGAAAAATCTGAACTTCAGCGGACATTCGCGCCGCGTTATCAGAAGCTTGCTCTTGTGGGGGCGTGATTGTGACGTAGAACCTGTCGATGGTGTCCCGGGGGAAATCCTCCAGTCGACACCGACAACAAGTCATCAAACTGGGCTTGGCTCAGTCAGAAGCACCGCTGAAAGTCTCCGTCATCCAGGTTCAGTTTCTGGAGGAGTTTATGAGCTCACAGAGCTGGATGCGCCTCTGAAAGCATGTAGTGGACTCAGACAGGACCCTAAACGTATCGATGCTGTTTTTCAGTCTTCATAAAGAACATAAACACTGTTATTTTCTTCATAAAACCCATGTTAGCCATTTAGCTATGAAGCTAGAGTCACCGGGCAGACAGGAGCCCTGCCCATCACGCGAATCTGCATCTGTTTTGAAGTAAATTTGACACGCGAATGAAGCGGGTAAACTCAAATGTTCACACGGCAATTTCTGCACGAACAGCGTGATTTATCCGCGCGTTCTGCGTCGGGTGTGAACACAGCATCAGAACATAGGGAACAAAGTTAGTGTATTTATGTGCAAACACTCTAATATTCTGTTTTACACCACTGACCTCCATTTAAAATTCAATTCAGCTTTATTTGTATAGCGCTTTTACAATGTAGATTGTGTCAAAGCAGCTTCACATAAATGGTCATAGTAACTGAAACAGTGTGGTTCAGTTTTTAGTGTTTAAGTTCAGTTCAGTTCAGTTTAGCTCAGTTCAGTGTGATTTAATCATTACTGAGAGTTCAAACACTGAAGATCAAATATATCGATGCGTAGCTCTACCAATCCTGAACCATGCGAGCCAGTGGCGACAGCGGAGAGAGAAAAAAAACTTCACCTGATAGGAGTGAAGAAAAAAAACCTTGAGAGAACCAGACTCAGTTGGGCACAACCATTTTAATTTCTCCGCTGGCCAAAAGTCTTGTGCAGAGCTTCAGTCACCGTGGTGGAGGCTGGAAGATGGCCATAAAAGCCATAAACTGTTTTGCATGGGCCTATCTAAAGGGTTAATGCTGCCAACTGATGATTAATAGTAAAAAATAAAAGTTTCACAGAGAAAACCACCAACAGTCAAGAATGCATGATTATATGATCTCAAGGCTTTGCAATCAGAAAATATAATTATAGTGGATGTCAGTCAGGTAATAATAAATTATTATTATTTTAATATCCTGAAGAACAGAAACATTCTCTTTCATTATAAAAATACATTTAAGTAATATGTTTACAATAAAATATATGACTTAATGAAGTACGTGAAAAATACGTAAATTAATCCAGGTTTTGATTTTAGCTCATATTGTCCTGCCCTACTAACAACATGACGTCCTTCATCCTTTTACTCTTTCTTTGCCTACCTCACTTTCTTAAATGAGAAATGCTGTACAGACAAACTTCACAATCCATCGAGTCCAATGAGAAAGTTTGATGTGTTTTCTTGCACTTCCAGATCCAGTTTGGTGATTTCCCAATGCTTCCTCGGCTCATTCGGCCTCTGAAGGCGTTGTTTGCAGAGGAGATTGAAGAGATGGAGGAGAGGAGAGAAAAAAGAGAGCTGAAGAAGAGCTTCGAGCCGCCGGCCAATGGAGAGTCTGGAAAGAGCAAAGCTGCAAAGAGAGAACAAGAAGACCATAATCAGGAGAATGCCAACAAACGACTTAAAGCTAATTGAGGAGAAGCCAATCAGGATGAGGGCTTGAGCAATCAGAACGCAGGATGGAGGATGCTGAACCAATGGGGTGTCTTCTTAAGATATATCAAATCCATATTGGGTAAAAGTCTGCAGTGTTCGACTGGAGGAGGTGAGATTAAAGCAGATGGAGATTAATTTTGAGTTTGAAGCGTGATGTTAAATATGTAGTTTATCGATCAGATCTGGAGTTGTTCCCATTGCTATCGATTCTGCTTCAACCCGGGAGGCTGCTGGGAAAAGTGTGCTTTCTTTTACTTTTTGTGTGGAGTCTGTTTTAATTTCTGCCTTCCAGCCTCTGTAGTCCTGAAGCAGAAACTTTTCGGCTCTGGAGGAAGACGCTACGTTTGGGATTTTGGTTTGAGAGAGTGAAGTGAGTGCAGTGATGTTTGAAAAGGCACTTGTAGATTTTCTGTATTTAATATTTAATTTTATGTCCATGAAGTGGCTGATCGGCTTAGGTTTTTCTAATTATTTTAGGGAAATAAACACTTGCTGGATAACTCTTTGTTGTTATTAATTATATCTTTTTCTCTTTCTCTCCTAGATTTATTAGTGCTGCTGTTAAATAAATAAATACATTTTATTATTAATAAAATGTATTTTTATTTATTTATTTGTTTTACCTTTAGATTACAGATTTTTCAATAGTTGTATCTCCAAATATTTTCCTATTATATAAAACACAAACGAACAAACAAATAAACACACACATGCAAACAAACACACAGATGGGCAAACAAACACACACAAATGAATACAAATTCACACACAAACAAACATGCACGCAAACAGAACACGCAAACAAACACTCAAACAGGCAAACACACTCGTAAATACACACTTAAGCAAACATATAAACACAATGGAAACTTTAGTCAGCTTTTGACCGATGAATAAATCTCTATCATCAAAGGTCTACACTTATAACATAACAAACAAACAAACACAATCAAACAAACATACACCCAAACATACAATCAAACAAAAACAAGCAAACACACAAACAAAAACACAAATACACACACACACAATGGAAACTTTATTTAGCTTTTGATATAAATCTCTATCTTCAAAGATCTACACTTATAACGCAACACACAAACAAACACACCACACAAACACAATCAAACAAACATACACCCAAACATACAATCAAACATAAACAAACAAATGATCAAACACAAGCAAACAAAAACAAGCAAACACACAAACACAATGGAAACTTCAGTCAGCTTTTGACTGATTAATAAATCTCGATCATCAAAGATCTACACTTATGACACACAAAGAAACACACACAAAGAAACACACACACACTTATGACACACAAAGAAACACACACACGCACACACACACACACACACACACACACACACACACACACACACACAAACAAACAAACAAACAGGCAAGCACACACACAAACAAGCAAACAAACAAATGTACACACACACACACACACCCAAACACACAATCAGAAATACACAAACACAATGGAAACTTTAGTCAGCTTTTGACCGATGAATAAATCTCTATCATCAAAGGTTTACACTTATAACATAACAAACAAACAAAAACAATCAAACAAACATACACCCAAACATACAATCAAACAAAAACAAGCAAACACACAAACAAAAACACAAACACACACACACAATGGAAACTTTATTTAGCTTTTGATATAAATCTCTATCTTCAAAGATCTACACTTATAACGCAACACACAAACAAACAAACACACCGCACAAACACAATCAAACAAACATACACCCAAACATACAAGCAAACAAAGACAAGCAAACACAATGGAAACTTCAGTCAGCTTTTGACTGATTAATAAATCTCTATCATCAAAGATCTACACTTATGATACACAAACAAACACACACACACAAACAAACAGGCAATCGCACACACAAACAAGCAAACACACAAAAACAAATGTACACACACCCAAACACACAATCAGAATTACACAAACACAATGGAAACCTTTAGTCTGCTTTCAGCTGATGTATAAATCTTTCTAAATCAACACTTATGACTGGCTTTGTGGTCCTGGATCACATATGTATTTATTAATAATAACAATAATAATAACTATTATTAATAATAAATAATTAGCAAGTTGCTATTAAATGAGGCTGAAATCAAACTGCCAGCCTTATGCTTTGGTTTAATCCTAACTCAGACAGAATGACAAAAAGTGCATCATTTTTTCTCCCCCAATGGGAACTGATGACTCTGTCGCCGGAGAGTACATGTGCAGTCAACTAACAAAGCCTTTGATTTAATGTCCCGTCTCCGGCTTTGATGGTTACTCCGTCATTAAATGCTTCCCAAAGGAAAAAAAGAAAACCTGTTTGCTCTGCCGTCTGCACGCGTGTCGAACACTATCTTGACATATAATCAAATTTATGTGGATTAAAAAAAAAAGCAAATAAGCTGAAGTGATGTAGCTCAGAGACATGAAGAATTAAACGGTGTCTGTGGCTTCTGTCTGATACTGGGAGCCGTTTAATACACGGAGCCGCATGTGTGTTTCTGATCTTGTGTTCGCTGCTATGCTAGCGCGACACTTTTGATCTAATATTCATCAGAGCCGTCCAAATGAAGCTTGCTTTGCTGTGAATTCAATTACAGTGGGAATTATCTACATGCAACAAACGGCTGGTGGATTTGACATGGGCCCTTATTTTAAAGAAGGAATGTAATTGAAAAATAATCACTTGTAAATCTGAGACTGGAGATCTCTCTGAGGAGATCTGGAGTCATTTTTATTTCAAAGATGCTTTTGAATGTCTTTATTTTTGAGTTGACCCTTAAAACCATTTAAAAATACAGCTTTCTTTTTATTTAATTGTAATTATTTGGTTTTATTTAAAAAATTATAATTTATGTATATTTATTTTATTGTAAACATGCACTAACTGGCCACTTTATTAGGTACACCTATCTAACTGCTCGTTAACGCAAATTTCTAATCAGCCAATCACATGGCAGCAACTCAATGCATTTAGGCATGTAGACACGGTCAAGACGATCTGCTGCAGTTCAAACCGAGCATCAGAATGGGGAAGAAAGGGGATTTAAGTGACTTTGAACGTGGCATGGTTGTTGGTGCCAGACAGGCTGGTCTGAGTATTTCAGAAACTGCTGATCTACTTTTCACGCACAACCATCTCTAGGGTTTACAGAGAATGCTCTGAAAAAGAGAAAATATCCAGTGAGCTGCAGTTCTGTGGGAGCAAATGTCTTGTTGAAGTCAGAGGAGAATGGCCAGACTGGTTCCAGCTGATTAGAAAGGCAACAGTAACTCAAATAACCCCTCGTTACAGCCGAGGTCTGCAGAAGAGCATCTCTGAACACACAACACGTCCACGTCCAAGACTACACCAGGTGCAACTACTGTTAGCTGAGAACAGGAAACTGAGCTCACCACACACCAGCTGATTGGTGGAGAGAAGACAGAGTGATGAAGCCAATTATGATATGGGGTAGGTTAGGAGGCCATGATGGACAGAGGCCAGAGAGCAAATTTGGCCAGGATGCCGGGGTTAAACCCCTACTCTTTTTTTTTTGAAGAACATCCTGGGATTTTTAACCACCACAGAGTCAGGACCTCTGTTTATCATGCGAAAGACGGCGCTCACTGAGCAGTATCCGCTTGTTAAGTGTGACGTCACGCGAAGCGGCTTCCGGGTCCAATCACTCTATGCAACTGTATGTGGAGACTTGTGAAATGGTAAATATAAACGTTTACAAAGCGATTTAATACTTTCGAAAATTACGATCGCAATATATATGTCCATCCCTAATATCCAATGGCCAGAAAGTGATTTTTTTATAAATTAAATTTTGGTGTTTGTGATCGAGCAATCCCAGAGATTGTTGTGTACACTATGACTTTATATAAAATTTATATAAACTTTAATGTGTGATAGGAATAAAAAGTGATCATAAACGAATGATTTCTAAACTCAAATGAGAGGCGGCTTGGACCCGGAAACAGTATTACATACGTCACCAACACGTCACCACTTAACAAGCGGATAGAGTCCCTGTCACTATACTGGGGCATTAAGACCCACACAGACCACAGGTTGGGCACCTGCTGCTGGCCTCACACCGCTTCCGGCAGTAACCTAGCTTTGCCATGTGTTCCCCCATCCAGGTACTGACCGGGCTAAGCCCGGCTTAGCTTCAGTGGGTAAGAGCTAGCTGCCGGCAAATACTATAATATACTAGATTATGGGTTGCAATTTCAATGTAAAAGAACAAACAAATCAAGGCTTTGCTACAAATCTATATCATTATGAACATTGAAAGAGAAGGACATTTGATTTGCACTTATGTAGTTGAGGCCAGCTAGTGAAGTGATATGCAGGTAAACCTCACTCCTCTGACCTCTAAAGGTGCACTAGCGACAGATGCAAGAGGCCATTGTCTTTAGCCTCCTTGTTAGCGCAACCAATTCTCATGTAAAGAATCGCTGGCTCAATCACAGCTCTGAGCAGGTTAGGTGGTGTAGGACTTTACACAAGTGGCGGGTTACTCTTAATATTTGTCCATTGAGAAAATAACATCACATTTGGTGTTATAGTGTGACTATCGCAAGCATATCTGTGCCCAAAACTCCTAAGTTTACTGCAGTGTTTGTTTCTCACTTTGTATTCCATCCACTTCAGTAATATTCAATACATTTGTCTGTAATATTGCTGTTTTGCGTTTTATTTTGGGGTTAGTCATGGTCTACTGAAAGTAATTTGTTTGATAAACTGATCTGATTGATGAACTGTTAGCAGAACGACACAGCAAGTTATTATTATTACATTATTGTTACAGTATAATGGAAGTTACACCCATAATTCACATGGCTGCTAAGTGGGGGACAGGAAAAAAGGTACACTGGGATCCCTTTAATAAACAGAGCTCTTTCCTGTGTTGTAGTTGGTTTGATGCAAAATTGATCAAATCCTAAAACTGTCCAGTAAGCGCTCCCGCTCAGCACAGAGGAGATTTCTTTAGTTATATTGTTTAAATTGTTTGATATGCAGTGAAACGCTTTAAAATATTTCGCCGGACAGATCAGTCACTTTTGACGCTTCTAAACAATCATAAAGCCCTCGTGCTGCAGGAATGAGGAGGTTTGCTGAAGGTGCGCAGCTGTCGTGCAGTGAGGAGTTTGCCTCTTTATTAAACCACGGCAGTTTCGTTCACTGAACCGTAAGAATGATTAATTAATCTATATGAAACAGTCCCTTAAAAGTCACGTCTCGCTTTCAGTTTCGGGCTTTGCCCGAAACTGAAAGCCCAAGTGAACCGTGCCTGAGCCAGTTTTAGAGCACTCGCACTTCTCAGACGATCTGGGAACGGTTCAGATAACATAGTGCGAGTACGCCCTAATTGTATTTTATTAACCTCTACCCCAAACCCTAAATCCAAGTCACAGTAATGTAAAAACAGTAGATATACTGAGTATTTTTTTGTTATCTAT